TCATCAAGAAACTCATAGGGGCCAGACAACTCTCGAGACTACATTAGGCCAGCACGTCTATGTTCCCCGACTCTCCAGTATAGCCCGTGCATTATGTGAGCAACGTGAAGTATGTGCCCGAAATAACCCATGGCAGGGGCCTAAGATTTCTCTAGGAGTGCATTGCATTGAAGGGGCCCCATTTGAAAACATAACTGTGGACTTCACTGAGCTTCCTTGGGCTTGAGGCTATAAATATCTGTTAGTTTTTGTGTGTGCTTTCTTGGGTTGGGTAGAGGTCTTTCCTACCCGCACCGAAAAGGCACGTGAAGTGGCATGGCTGCTTCTAAAAGAAATCATTCCCTGATTCGGAATCCCAATCACTATAGGATCAGACAATGGGCCGGCATTTGGGGCTGAGGTAAATACAATCAATGACAAGGGGCTTGAAAATCACATGGAAATTACACACTGCCTATCACCCCCAGAGCACTGGAAAAGTGGAACAGATAAACCGAACTCTTAAACTACAACTGAGTAAACTGTCAGAAAACTCACTTGTGATGGGACCAGCTGTTGCCGGCAACAGCTAAGAATCAGGTCTAGCTCCACTAAGCACACAGGATTTTCCCCTTTTGAAATTCTTTATGGGTGCCCTCCTCCCACTGTTAAAAGTATAAAAAGAAATTTAAAAGAGGTGGGTAATCTTACTCTAAGATAGCAGACCGTAGGCTCTAGTCTCAGCCCTTACCACTATACATTATTGGGTTAGAGAGCGGCTACCTGTGAGCTTAACCACAGCCGCTCACCCCTTTAAACCAGAGGATGATGTATGCGTAAAGGAATGGAACATCCAGTCCCTAAAGCCCCTTTGGAGAAGTCCGTTTACTGTTATTTTGTTCACCCCCACTGCAAAAAAGGTAGCTGAGGTTGACCCCGGGATTCATCACAGCAGAGTGAAACTGGCCTTCCAAGACCGGGAGTTTATAGCTAATCTATCAACACCCGGGAAGCTGACTCTCCAGAAAAAAAACAGGACGTGACCCCAGGATCTTAGAAGACTGCAATCCTGCTTTAGTCACTCCAGAAGCTGACTAATCTATGCATAAGAAGCTTGAGGAATCAACCATCAAACAAGCAAACAGACTGTGTTTTTAGTGTAATGCAATGTCATCCCTTGCTAGTGTCTGTTGCTGTAATTCTTGCCTTGGGTTTTGCTGCAGGTTTAACATCGGTTGCTCCAGACAGCTGGACCTGTGGTGAGAGGTTACTGTTAGCACTCTTTTATCGCTTTTGGATAGGATGTATAAACATTGTCTATTGTTACTAATCTGGCTCCCCTTTGTAATTTCAAAGCCCTCTGCTTCATGTGACCCATGTATTCGCACAACCAGGTCGGGTCAAGGAGTTATCTGGACCCTCCTTTACCAGACCCATTTCTCTTGTGGGGAAACTATTTCAGGGACCTGCAGGCACAATAAGACTATCTGTTCTATTTGTCAGCAAGAAAATCAGTACACCTGCTTCAACTCACAATACCCCCCAAGTGAAGAATGGCTAGAGGTCCATCGCACCAAGGAGAAAGGGTATTTAATTAACCGAACCCTAATCACTGACCCCTGCCAACTGGTGTCTGTATTCTTGGATGCCTGCTTGGCCACGAATGAAACCTGGTGGTATGCTGTAACCCACAGTACCGGTACTAAATCATGGAAAGCTTAGCCTGGGAGAGGGAGTAGAGGCTGAATGATAACTATATATGTGAATATGTGAACAGCCTCCAAATGGAATGTGGGCCCCCTGTTATAGTTCATCTGAATTATTATGTCCTCGTTGGGTTTGTGCATCATGGGACACTTGGAGAGGCTGAGGTAAAGTTGCGTTCCTTCAAAAGGGTGTTGCCACCTCTAGTTGCAAATCAGGATCCTGTTAATATTACCATCTTTAACCTAAAAGATCCAGGATAGAAAACAGGCCTTCAACTTGGCATATGTATCCATGGGCGAGGTCTTGACCCTGGAGCCCTACTGTATGTCAAAAGAGTCACAATCCCACTCCAAGCCTGCTCCTATAAGGTCTTTTATTCCTTTTATGAAGAAATAGAAAGTAGTCCTCCTCCCCTCTTCATTATGACTAGAAATCTGTTCCTAACCTTGACAGAAACTATCGCTAAGTCTCTAAAGACCTCCTCTTGTTATGTATGTAGGGGAACAAATATGGGAGATCAATGACCATGGGAAGCTAAAAAACTGGAACCCCACGAGCACCGCAATAAAACAGGATATCCTAGCCCTGCCAATGGAATTTGGCTACTTAAAACCTCAGTTATAGGAAAAAATTGTGTTGCCTGATGGGAAATGAAGTTTAACATTCCTGTCGGAAGTCTGACATGCTTAGGCCAAAGGTATTATAATGCCACGACTAACAAAACTCAATGGTGGGCGTCCCCAGACCATCCTGAACCGAACCCTCACCCTTTGTCTAACTTACCCAGCCTCCAACAGGCATGGAGTGCTATTGACACAAATATCATATGGTGGGTCCCAAATGGACTACATTGGCTCTGTGGAAAAATAGCCTACACTGTACTTCCTTCAGACTGGACAGGATCTTGTGTGTTAGGGTCTATTCAGCCTTCCTTTTTCCTACTCCCACTTGTAAAGGGAAAACAATTGGGGGTCCAAATATATAAAACCTGAAACTCCCAAAGAAAGCAACGTGCTCTACAAATTGGAGACTGAAAGATAATGAATGCCCCCCAGAGTATACTATCCAAGACCATGCCCCAGCTACCTGGGCACAGGAGGGATCTTGGGGCTATCAGACCCCCATTTACATGCTAAGTCACATAATTCGATTACAGGCAGTTATTAAAATTATAACTAATAAAACTACAAAGGCCCTTAAAATTTAGCCAAACAGCAAACTAAGATGTGCAATGCCATTTATCAAAACCTCTTAGCTTTAGATTACTTGCTTCTGAAGAAGGAGTTTGTGGAAAGTTTAACTTAAGCAACTGCTGCTTACAAATAGATGATAAGGGAAATCACAGATCGAATGAAAAAGCCTACTCATGACCCAGTCCAAACCTGGAAAGGGTGGGACCCCGAAGAACTGTTTGGAGGTTGGTTCCCCACTTTTGGAGGATTTAAAACCCTCATAGGTGTTGTACTCCTGATGTTGGGAATTTGCCCACATCTTAATCCTTCCCTGTCTAGGTCCCTTAGTTATAAGGTCTGTCACCATCCTCATTGAGGCCATGGTTGAAAGAAAAATAGCAATGCATGTTATGCTGCTATGGAAGTACAAACCCTTAAACCAGAGTGATGTTCTACAACCCTAGGAAGGGATTCGAGCATCAAAGGGGGGAATGAGGCAGGGAGCCCCTCCCCCAAGCCTCATTAGAGCAAGGCCTTCCCAGACCAGAGTAGGGGCTCCCCCTTAGTGCAGTAAGATACAAGCCTTCTCAGGATAATGAAAGAGTTCTTCTAGCATCATACGGTAAGAACTTTCTTGGATGATACATATTAGAAAGAAATGTGACCCCAATCTTAGTGTGCAAGTGTAACTCTGCTGTAAACTTGAGCTATGAAATACCCAATTAGCCAGTATGTTACTAATATGTAAACCTTATCAGGGGAACAAGGAAGCTAAAACTGTATAAAAGGCAATGCCACCCTGCACTCAGGGCTCAGCCTTTGGATGCGAATCCGCTGAGGCGGTGCCAGTACGAATAAATACTGTTTCCTGGCAAAGTGGCCTGGGTGTTCTGTCTCTCTCTGTAAAGATTTCTGCTACAGGATTACAGGTGTGAGCCATCATGCCCAGCAAAGGGAGAGAGTTAAAAAAGGAAAGGGTATTTCAGGTGTATGAGTGGTAGGATCAGACACAGAGGGCCCCAAAGAGTAAGGCCTCTTCAGGAGACACCACATTGCTCCTCAAGGCCGCTGCATATGAAATGGGTGGGCCCAGGGCACTGGGGGGCTCTGAGGAACACTGGTGAGAGACAAGACCAGAGAAACAGGCAGAGAGCAAGATAGGGCTCACAAAGTGAGTTGTGAGTCAGGATTTCTGACTTCAGCCAACACTGGGGCTTGGTTCTTTATCACATGTGGATTTCTGGACCCAGCCTGACTGACCCTGGACTGCTATGAATTCACCAAGGTGGTGAGCACATCCTGAGGTTCAGCCCAATGGGCAGCCAACTGGCTCCCACCAATGCTCCTCATCAAGGCAGGCCTGCTCTCAAGGGTCAGCACCCTGGGAGGGTGTGGTAGCTTGAAAAATGTGCTCCTCCCCCCAGAAATGCCCACATCTTAATCCTAAAAATCTGCAGATATGATATATTAGGGGGCAAAAGGGACTTTGGTAAGACTATGGTAAGAATATATATACATATATACATATATATATATATATATATATAGAGAGAGAGAGAGAGAGAGAGAGAGAGAGAGAGAGACTTTCCTGGATGATCTAGGCATGCCCAGTGTCATCACAAGGGTGCTTAGAAAAGAAAGGCAGGGGAATCCAAGTCAAAGAAAAAGGAGATTTGATGAGTGGAGGAAGAGACTGAAGTGACGCAAGAGGGGTCACAAGCCAAAGAATGCACACAGCCTCAAGGAGCCGGAAAAGGCCAGGATGTGGACTTTCCTCCACAGCCTCCTGCAGACCCCGGCCCTGCCAATGCCTAGATCTTAGGACATCTGGTTCTGGCTTCAAGAACTGAAAGACAGTAAATCTGTGTTCTTTTTTTTTTTTTTTAGGAAGCAGGATTTATTGAGAGGACAGAAAAGCTCCCACAGTGGAAGGGAACCCAAAGGGGTTGCCCAACTGTGTTATTTTAAGCCATTAGGGTTTGTGGCAATTCGTTACAGCAGCAACAGCAGACACACAGCCATATGAAGCCAGATCCACTGAAAACAGTTACCACTTCCTAGAAGAGACGGTCTACATATACTCCATGATACCACAGATAACCCAGGGAGATGGGACTGGGCCCTGATGGGCTGCTCACTCACGTGCGTGGGCAAGACTGAGGGCCCAGAGTCGCAGGTAAGAGGCTGTGTTTGAGATGCAGCCCAGACAGTACTCAATGGTGTGGATGGCTTGGTGGACGAAGATGTCTCCAAAGTTGAACTGAAAGAGAGAAATTTTATTTCATTAAGTACCTTCTACACAAAAGGTATTAAAATGATACCCAGATGGATGAGGCATGGGCTTTGCTGTTAAGACACTTTCAGGGGAAAATGAATATGAATAGGCTTGGAGAAAGATCATTATGGGCACAAAGTGCAATATAGCAAGTGCAGTAACATTTCCCAGCAGCAGTTGAAAAAAGCTCAAAGAAAAGCTGGGTGCGGTGACTCGTGCCTGTAATCCCAGCACTATGGAAGGTTGAGGTGGGAGAATCACCACTTGAGGCCAGGAGTTCAAGAGCAGCCTGGGCAACATAGTGAGACCTCACCTCTACAAAAAGGGCGAGGTAGTCTCAGCTACTCAGGAGGCTGAGGTGGTAGGATCCCCCAAGCCCAGGAGCTTAAGGCTGTGGTGAGCTATGGTTGTGCCACTGCCCTCCAGTCTGGGCAACAGAGTAAGACATCTGACGCAAAAGAAAAAAGCTCAAAGAAAACTGCTTGGTAAGGGGAGATGAGATTTGTCCTGTGTCAGGAAGGATGAGTAGGGGTCAAAGGGAAAGATAAGTAAGGAAAGGCAGAGTGCTGGGATTAGGGCATGAGCCACCGCACCTGGGAACATCATCAACTCAAGTGTGAAACTTGGGATCTTGTTTAGGTGAGGAATAGACAATAGTGCTCTGGTGTTGAAGATTCTGGAAAGGCAAGTTCTGGATAGAGTTGAGAAGACAGCTTGGAGTCAGTGAGGAGCTATAAGACCCACTGAGCAGAAAGTGGCAGAAGAAATGAAGACACATTTTGGGATAGATTCATCTGGTAGCATAATGGTTTATAGGCCTGAAAGCCTATAGGCCAAAAAAGCCAATTAGGTAATGAGCTCAGTAATCCCAGGAATGAGGTGAAGAGACACAGCACAAAAACGCCATTGCTCGTTCTCCCTCCATGCACTTTGGTGTGGGGGACAATTTGGCACTGTCCCTGCCTCTCAAGTAGCTCACACCCTCAGCAGGAGACTACGGAACAGGACCCCACGCCGTGGTCTGGGAAGTGCAATATCCAAGTGGTACTGTGGGAACACAGAGAAGGCCCCTACCCAGGTGGGGCCAGGGTCATCCAGGGATCGGAGGCTCCTAGAAGAAGGGCATTGACAGAGAAGGCATGTGCTGCCTCTCAGACAGGTGACTTCAGGTGACTGCAGGCCATATAAGTAGACTCTTTCAGCATGTAGCAGTGAGGGTGGAATGGTGGCTCAGAAAAGTCTAGCTGGAAATGGACACCTGGGATCTCATCTGGGGAGAACTGAGATCAGCAAGGGAAAGATCAAAAAAAGAGGAAACATCTTCATTCAGAGATAAGAAAAAAAGAAACTCATAGCCGGGCTCAGTGGCTCAGCCTGTAATCCCGCGCCTTTGGGAGGCTGAGGTTAGTGGATTGCCTGAGCCCGCGGGTTCGAGACCCGCCTGGGCAGTGAGACCTCATCTCTACAATAAATAAAAAAATCAGCCGGGCATGGTAGCGCATGCCTGTAATTCCGGCTACTTGGAAGGCTGAGGCGGAAGGATCGCCAGAGCCCAGCAGGTCGAGGCTGCGGTGGCTGGGAGCGGCCACTGCACTCCAGTCTGGGCGACAGAGTGAGACTCCAACTCAAAAAAAAAAAAGAAACTCATGAGGAAAAGAAAAGGTCAAAGAAGCTGAAGGAGTCTCAGCCACAGTCAAGGATGTCTGTGGAGGGAGGGACATTCAGGAAGGAACAGGCACAAGACAAAGCTCAATGCTTCTCAATTTGGCAATGAGAACAGTCCTAAGAGACTGAAGGGACAGCAAGGGCAGATACGGAGTTAGCATGTGGAGAGGAGAGGCCTGCCTGGCTTTGTCCTAGCTCTGGGGAGGTAACTCAAACACTTGACATTTCCCAAGGGAAAGGGTGGGAAGGGGTCTTTGTGATTCATGGTGGGCCCCTGGGACCACACCTGACAGTTTATATGCTAATGGACTGATATGTGGTGGGCATCCTATAGCTTTTGTGGGGGCTCACCACACCAGGAAGTTCAACCACGTGCTGAGAGAGTTGAGACTGAGCTCCAGGACACCAGTGCATCCACCATTGGGTTGTAGTCGATCACTCAATCCTGCCTACTCAGGGAAACCCCAGTAAAACGCTGGACAGCTAAGTTTGGGTAAGCTTCCTGGGTTGACAATACTCTGCCACACATCAATGCCAGGAGAGTGATGAGCTCCCAAGAACACCAGCTTCACATGTGTAACTGCCTCGGTTCCAGATTCAACCCTATCACCTCTGCCTTTGGCTGGTTCTGATTTGTATCCTTTAGCTACAAAAAAGCTATAATTACAAGCATAATATTGCCCTGAGTTCTGGGAGTCTATCTATTAATTATTGACCCTGAAGTAGTCTCAGTGGTCCTCTGAATTTGTATAAGCTGATCTGAAGTGAGGATGGTCCTGGGGACCCCAGACTTGAGGCTGGAATCAGTTTTGGGTGGACTTGGCAGTCTAGAGGGCTACACCCTTAACCTTGAGCTTGGCTAATGCTAGTGTGAAAAGAAGTGGGAAAGGAATTTGAGAGGACAGGGTCAAGCACACACTTACCTCGAGAAGGAAGACCCACACATCATCCTACCCAGGGGAAGGGCCTGTGAGTAGAGATCAAAGTTGCCCCAACAAGGGCAGCCAGTCACAGAGGAGGTGGCAGGTAGAAACTGCCTGGATATAGGCCAGGCTCGGTGGCTCAGCCTGTAATCCCAGTACTTTGGGAGGCCGAGGCGAGTGGATTGCCTGAGCCCATGAGTTCAAGACCAGCCCGGGCAACTTGGCGAGACCTCATCGCTACAATAGAAATAAAATTAGCCTGGCGTGGTAGCGCGCGTCTGTAGTTTTGACTACTTGGTAGGCTGAGGTGGAAGGATTGCCAGAGCCCAGCAGGTCGGTGCTGTAGTGGCTGTGAGTGTGCAACAGCACTCCAGCCTGGGTGATAGAATAAGACTCGAAGTCAAAAAAAAAAAAAATTTGCCTGGATATACATTTGAGGGCACAGGGAGAGTAAATGAGGGAGGTTGCCCTGGACAGGCTGGGACTTGATGAGTCAGAAATTGTGTGGGTTGGATCCCAAAACATTTCAGCAGGTTTGAAATACGTGGTCTATTAATATTGGGTCATGGAGGAAAAGCCAGAGCTATGGTTAGAAAGTAACTAATCTGGCAACCCCCTGGGGTTCCCTCCCATTGTGAGAGATTTTCTGTCCTCTCAGAGAGATAAAGAAACTAATCTGTTGTTTCTAAGTTTGCTTTCACTCCAGTAAAGGACAAATACCTTCCAGTCCTGACCCCTGGGTAGAGGGGGAAGCTCCAGGCTGATCAACATATTCTCTCTAAACAATGGACCTAAAAACTGCTTAAGGACAAAAGCAGCCATTGGAGGGACAAAAGTGGCTTCAATCTTCAGGCACCCCACCTCCTCCACACCTTCCTCCTGGACTACCTCCTTAATGGCTCAAGGATCAGGGGTGGTACCAGATGGCCATGGGGCCTGCTTCATAGATAGCATCTATTGTAAAACCTAAGAACAGTATTTGAGATATTTTTCAGACTTTGTACTCTGATGGACCCCCAACCTCCACCCAAGCCCAGAGCACTAGGAAGTCAGCTTAACTGGTCCATGAGGCCCTGTCTCAGAAATTGGCTCTACAACAGGAAGACAGTCTCAATACTTCATGACATCAAGCAGCAGCCCCTAGCTCTCTACCAGCCATGTTCCCTTTAAAAACCTTATCCTCTTAATTTTTAAGGAAGCAAATTTGAGTAATTCCTCTTGACTTTCTTGCTCAGCTGGTTTGTGATATTAAATTCTTTCTCTAGCTGTAATGGCTGCATCAGTTTTGATTCTTCTGAGTAGCAGGCATAAGAAAGCAGTGTGGGTGACTCTCTGAATCCAGAATCTTGTTGGAAAAAATCTTCCATGATCCAGATTTTTCATTAATTCTTTTTTTTTTTAAGTCGGAGTCTCACTATCACTACAGGTGTGCGCCATCACGCCCAGCTAATTTTTGGATTTATTGTAGAGACAAGGTCTCGCCAAGTTCCCCAGGCTAGTCTCGAAACCCTGGGCTCAGGCAATCCTCTCACCTCTGCCTCCCAACGCGCTGGCAGCGCTGGCATTACAGGCGTGAACCCGCTGGACCTGGCTTCATTAATTTTAATTGATCAAATGAAACCTTTTTTCAGTAGGTAATTAACACTACAAATGAAGCCATTTATGGCATCTCTGGCTCCCATGGGAATCCTGTCCCCACTCCCTAATTAGAATAGAGCTCCAGCTGAAAGCTCCAGCCCTATTCAGTACTGTGGCTGACTTCAGTCATCATATGAAAACAGTCAGCTGCCGTCACCTGGAAGAATGTGGCACCCATTCCTGAGCAGGGAGCGGCTATGCTTGCACAGATAGGGGTGGTAAGGGATCAGGGAACAAAACAATTTGTGAATTCACATGAGAGGCAGACACCTTTACAGGAAGATCATAATGAAGGCAGCAGCCTCCTTAGGGGTGTGACTCCGATCCATGGAGGCTCAGGAACACATAGGACTCTCCCTGTCACTAGATCTGAGGCTGATATTCACCCTACACTTAGATATAGCAGTACTTGGGCTAAAATATTAAAATACTCCCACCTGGTTGATAAATAGTGTTCTTATTCACTTGGATGTTCCCCCATCCCGAGACCTTTCTGGGCTTCCATGACTCAGCGGTGACCAGGCTGTCACCCAGCCCTGCCACCTATGATCATGCTGATGGGTAGATACCCATGCCCTCCTGGCTTTTTTTTTTTTTTTTTTTTTTTTTTTTAGCGTTAGAGTCTCACTCTGTTACCCAGACTGGAGTGCAGTGGCACACTCCCAGCCACCACAGACTCAATCTGCTGGGCTCCAGCGATCCGCCTCAGCCTTCCAAGTAGCTACAGGTGCGCGCTACCACGCCCAGCTCATTTTTGATGTATTATAGAGACGAGGTCTCACCAAGTTGTTCGGGCTGGTATCAAACCCGTGGGCTCAGGCAATCCACTCGCCTTGGCCTCCCAAAGTGTTGGGATTACAGGCTGAGCCACCAAGCCCGGCCCCTCCTGGCTTTCAAGACCAGATCCCATTTCTAGAATCTGTGCAAACAAGGAAGTCTTTCTCAGGTACCCTAGTCCATTACCTCCTCCTCGTGATTGTCCTGAGCCCCGTGGTCCACCGCAGAAGTCTTATGACCAGTACTGTTGAAAGCACTAGAGTCGTCACCTTCAATGTTCTCCATGGCATCTTCTTGGATCATAGATGCCTGCAGCTGTCACCAAGCAAGGAAATGAGCAATGCACTAAACTCATCCTCAGGATCCTAACTATTTCATGTAAAATAATGCTGTCATTAAGCATCACCTATGTACTGGATACCTTCTAAATGTCATACTATCTCACTTAGCCCTCCTAACAAACATTTTATGTAAGCACAATGAACACCCCATTTTACAGAAGTAAGCTGCAGCACAGAAAGTCTAAGAAACACACTCCAGATCACACAGCAGGCAAGGCTGGCCAGCGACTGAGCCAGGATTCAAATCCAGAACATGAACTTTTCTCCATGACACTCCAGAATGTGCCAAATTATGCATAGTCTTGATAACCAAGCGATGCATGTCCAAAGTGCCTTCCTACAGTTAAAGGAACTACTCGTAGTTATAAGATGTCAGTGGTGCCTTCTACACAGCCTTGTGATCTGAACTACTAAAGTTCTCTGGGAAAAATTGACTAAGAGATACTAATGACTTTTCCAACACAAATATGCTGTTTTTTAAAAAACACCACTTTAATAACTTAGAAAAAAGTTCAGCCGGGCATAGTGGCTCATGCCTGTAATCCCAGCACTTTAGGAGGTGGAGGTGAGAGGATTGCCTGAGCCCAGAGACTGGGCAACTTGGTGAGACCTTGTCTCTACAATAAAATTTTTAAAAATTAGCTGGGTGTGGTGGCACGCGCCTGTAGTTCCAGCTTCTTTTGTTTGTTTTTTTTTTTTTTTTAGTTACAGCTTCTTAAAAGGATGAGGTAAAAGGATTGCCAAAGCCCAGCAGGTTGAGGCTCTGGTGGTCGTGAGTATGCCACTGTACTCTAGCCTGGGCGACAGTGAGACTCTGACTTAACAAAAAAAAAAGAAAGAAAGAAAAATGTTCAAGGAAAACAAATCTAGGTATAGTCACCATTCAACATGGCCTAGTTTTACCCTTTAGTTTGAATGGAATTTTTCTTTCAAGTCACCATGAAGCTTAACATCCCATGTCCAAAGTTTTTCCTGGAATGATATCATGGGAGGCGGACTGTAAATTAGGCATCAAAATATGTTTACCTTTCTTTCTTTAGCAGGTCTGCATTTAATATTTGCAGGACTCTAGGCAGGGGCAAAAATAGAAGTCCATATGTTTAAATATTTAAAGGTTATAAACCAAGCCAACAAACTCCTAAATAAAATATGTCCTAGTCTCCTAGCTTGAAAAATAAATCCTTGTAAGAGCTTGGAAGGCCAGGTTCAAATTCAGAGTGCCACACTAGGCTATGGCAGCATGTGAGAGCTCCCTTGACCACAGCAGGCTCTTCTTCTCACCTCTGACTTCATCCCACACTATGAGGGTCTTGTGTGTATGTACACAGACACCCCAACCCAAAATGTCTAAGTTCCACTCACGCTCCCTTGGCCTCTGGCCTCCCCCAGGTCTAATGGTATCCATGCCAGTGTTGTGGTCTGTCTTCAGGAGACTGAATGAAAAGGCCGTTGTAGGACCCAGAAGTGGGCTCCAGTCCATTTGGACAGGAATTCCAGAGTGCCAGGTGCCAAGAGGGAGCTCTGGTTAAGGCTCCCTCTTGGCACCAAGAGGGAGCTCCGGTTCCTTGCCCCATAAGGTGGGGGAAGGGGGAGGTGGCATCAAGTTAACACTACATTTGTTATCCTGAAATCTCATTTTCCATCTCCGCTAACTTAAAGAAATGTTCAAAGAAGAAACATTGGTTAAAATGAACAGGAATCATTTTGTAAGCGTGTGATATTTGTGTGAATCCTAATGCCTATCTTTCTAGTCAAAATATGCTTGCTGCCCTCTTACTACTTACTAAAACCTCATGACGCTTAAGCTTAGTGGCTCGTGAAATAAAATGTACAGCAATCAATTTCATTTCACTTCATTTTATTTTTTTTGAGACAGTGTCTCACTCTATTGCCCAGGCTTGCAGTGCAGTGGCACAATCGTGGCTCACTGCAGCCTCGCCCTCCTGGGCTCAGACAATCCTTCTACTTCAACCTCCCAAGTAGCTACCACACCCGACTAATTTTTACATTTTTTGTAGAGATGGGGTCTTAATATGTTGTCTAGGCTGGCCTCGAACTCCTGGTCTCAAGTCGTCCTCCCACCCTGGCCTCCCAAAGTGCTGGGATTATAGGCATGAGTCACCATGCCTAGCCATAGCAACCAATTTTAAAATGAGCTATTGGCAATTTTCTAAAAACACACATGCTGTAAGGTATATACATGGATGTTTACAGTATCACTATTTGTAATTACTAAAGCTGAAACATTGGATGAGAAAACTCATATCCAAGAGAAAATACTCTGGGCAATTCTATTTACATAAAGTTCAAGAAGAGGCAAAATGAGCCTACAGTGTTCAAAATCAGGATAATGTTGCTCTGTGGTAAGAGAGTGCTAGGCAGAGGGTGAGGGACCCAAGAGACTTAAAAAGCTATACTTGCTGGAAAAGAAGCGGTCTTTGTATTTTATATATCCCTGCCTCACGTTCATTATATTTTATGAATTCTTAGTATTTTAAATCCTACCTCAGACCCCGTAGGACTAGGCACATGTCGGGTGCCTGGAAGTAACTGTGATTGTAAAGTTATACAATGCTTTAAGCAGTGTTTGTACTTAGAACTTTGTTAAGCTTTTGTTTATCCCAATTGCCATGTTGACTTCTGCTTCTGCAACTGGGTGTAAATGCTAAGCAATAAGCCCCTTCCGGACATTCCTTTGCTTAGATTATGGTAGACTCTGTGGCACTAGCCACTCTCCTGGTGGGCTCTGTGTTGTTTCAAACCTCCTGCTCGCATGCCAAAGTTAATTTACACGCAGTGACTGTGTAAACCTAGCTTATCTGGCATTCCACTCTGCCCGTTTAGCCGTTTCCCATCAATCACAGGCAACTGAGCTCGAGCCTGCGCAAAACCAAAAACAAACCAACCAATCTTAAGCATCCCCGTCCCTTGACATCACCGCGGACCTGAGTGGGGACTAACTATGCAAGGTCTGCAGACTTCGGTTTCTACATCATGACCTCTTCTGATTGGTTAATGTTGCAAAACCTAGGAAAAACCAGTCACACCCAGCCCCTCCCTCTGTACTTGTGCATAAAAACTGCTTGCTATACTGAATTGGGGCTCTCAATCTCGAGCCGCTGCGTCGGTTTCGGTTTGTGAGCCCAGACTCGAGCCTGAATAAAGACCTTCATGTGTTTGCATCGGAGCTGGCTCTTTGGTGGTCTCTTGGATTTAGAATTTTGGGTTTAACAAGGGCACTGGGGAGTTTTGGGTTCTGACAATGATCTGTGTCCTGTTGAGTGCTGGTGACATGACTGTGCTCACATTGTGATACATCATTCACTGGTGCTCTCAATGCATTCTATGTTATGCTTCGATAACATTCGCCATAAATATACACGACAACATGAAGATTTTAAACAGAAATACAAAATGACTTCACTGCTGTGACCTGAGGTGTGGGACTGTTGAGGGCCCTGGGTTCATGGCAGCAAGTCAGAAGGGGGACAGAATGCGGGGCTTCTGGGATCTGGGGTCTGATCACCAGGGCTCTGGCTGCCTACAGGGCATGTCATAAGGGCCACATCAGTGGAGGCGTTTCCAGACCACATTCTGCAGGGACCCAGGGCCCAGGGTTATAGGGGAGGCTGAATAGATGGGACCTCTATTTATATCCCCGATGTTCGCCACAACAAAATTGTTTATAATCTCTATGTATTGAGTCTGTACAATTCGCAGAGGAAGAGAGAAAAGGGCAAATAACGCTGTTATAGACTCATCTCTCAAATGGAGGTGGTAATGTTTCTAATCTGAGAAAGAACCACCAAGGCCATTAGCAGCAGTCTAAGGAAGCAAGCAACAGCTGTGCATCCTAAAGGCCAAGGAGACAAGACCCCAAGCATCCTCAGGAGCTCTGCTGCCCTGAGACAATTTAAGAAGTATCATCCACAAAGACAAGAAATCAAGGACTTCTAAGAAAACCCTCATTCCCTCTTTCCCTAGTGTTCAAGTCACTCAACAGGGAAAAGGAGAAATCAACCACGGTGAGATCAGTCACTGTTCAAACAGCTTTTGCAGTGCTCAGAAGAGCCAGCAGTCCCCTGGCCCTTGGCTCATGGACAGGCTGAATTCCCAGGAAAAACAAAACAAAACAAAACAATTGCATCTACCTCTCCGAGCAAGTATCTGCCACCTTCCACTGAAACATCTGTTTGGACAAGCATCTACTCCAACTGCCCTTCACTATCTCGATCTCTCACCAATTACCCAAACAATAAACATGCATTCTTCACTCTGTCTCCCTCTTTATGCATATCCCACATAAATGACGTTTCAGCCAGGTTTGGGTTCTACTCAAGACTAGCAGGAAATAAAGAGACAGTGGTGGGGAGAGGCAGGTGATGCGAAACAGGGCATCACACAGGAACGAGCCTCCGAACTCATATCCCATCACATCTAGGTTCCAGACTCTCTCACCCTCCAGGTCAATATCCAACAAAGATATTAGAAAAACAGAATTTAATCTGAACACATCTACAACCATTTAAAACATACGTGATCTCGGCACATTCCACTTAATCTCATACACTCATAAAGGAAAGCAGAGAATGATCATCTCAAACAGCATCTGAGTGTCAGCTAGACTCTGATGTGTCCGGAAGGTTAGTTGTCCTAAATCCTATTCCATCTAGGCTGATATTAAACTCATTCACCCCCTTAGTAAATCTGAGGTTCAGAAGCAGCTTAGACAAAAGCAGGAGATGGACTAAACCTATTTGGCAATAGGTGAGAAATCACAAATAAATAAGAGCTGACCTATCTGAATTTGTTTACTATTCTAATTCCCTGATGAAATCTATAACATAAGTGAACGCTCACAACTTTAGAATACTAATGAAAAACAACTTTTAATATTTGTTTTATTTATTTATAATTTTTTTTGAGTTGGAGTCTCACTCTGTTGCCCAGACTGGAGTGCAGTGGCCGCTCCCGGCCTCGACTTGCTGGGCTCCGGCGATCCTTCCACCTCAGCCTTCCGAGTAGCCGGAATTACAGGCATGCGCTACCATGCCCGGCTGATTTTTTTATTTTTATTTTTATTTTAGAGATGAGGTCTCGCTGCCTAGGCGGGTCTCGAACCCGTGGGCTCAGGCAATCCACTCACCTCAGCTTCCCAAAGGCGAGGGATTACAGGCTGAGCCACTGAGCCCGGCTTAATATTTGTTTTAAAAGTAAAACTGTAGTACAGTATTTTAACTTACAACTAATAAAACAACCACGTTCAGACCCTTATAAATCATTAGCGAACACTAGAGTTGCCATACATACACCCCAAGTGTGTTTGCAGGATATAAGGTTTAAGCATGTTTGCCCTTCACAGAGCATTCTGTGAAAATAAGAGGGCCCAGCAGAAAAGTGTGGAAGAGGCAGGTCAGTCCCACCACCTCCCCGCCATCATTCAGGCCCAACGTTCTCTTTCAAACCCAGACTTCTATTTTTAGGAACCCCCATCCCTACCCAGAGTGGGTGAATTGAGATGAATGGCCCTTACCTGGGATTTCTGATGTTTGGCTCTAAGAATAAATGGCTTAATCAGGAGCATCCACGGCACAGAAATCAGCGCCATAACAACAAAGAAACTTTGGATTTCTTGCTGCAAGACCAAAATGATGAGATCCTCTCATTTTAACACAACCACAGAGCATGCTTCACACGATAAAAATGATAAGCATGGGGGGTCACTTCAGTAGCACCTGGAGAGATCTAAAGCAATTCAGTGAATCCATTCACCTTTATAACTAGAATATTCCTACTACAGATAGAGAAATGCCTGTCTAGTGGGGCCCAGTATCCAGTGGTGGACACTGGAAACCTACTCACTATATTCTTGACTTATTATATGCTTGTATCATACAAGTCTTTTGAGCAAGAAGCACTCATGACACATTTTAAAGGAGCCTCTTATTCCTTTAACTCTGTTCCATGGAGTGGTTTTCTCTGGTTTTGGATGAAAACAGTAGCAGATCTCATGACTTCACTCTGTAATACCCAAATATCCTTGGGTCACTTTAAAAGTCACAAACATTGTCTCATCAGTAATTTGATATTTCCAGTACTAGGTAGTTATCTGAGCTCTCCTGCTCTCTCTCTTTAAAAAGTTCCTCACAGTTGCCACCTCTCCCCAGCACCCATGTGGGAGAGTTCTGGGATAACAGGTTCTGGGATACCTACTTGGAACTCTCTGTCCTGGTCTCTCTCTCTCAGTTCCTCTGGAATGAGACATCTGTGGTCTCCATCCTCTGCTGAGACTCAGGGGGAGGCCCCTGTTATCATCCTGCCACAGAATACCTTTCACACCCTCATACCCCCACCTTCTTTTGTATACACTCCCTATTGGCCAGTTTGTGGGAGTGACTCATAGCTGCTATTGTCAAAAGAACCAGAAGGCCTCAAAAGGCCAGGACACAGCTATTGAAAAGGAGTAGAAACAGCGCTTAGAGGGAAAGGAAAACGTTTCTTGAGCCCTCACACTGCTTCAACTGTTCTGACCCAGCTTGCAGTGAATGCCAGGAGACGATTTATCACCCCAGTTGTACAGAGATTTACCTTGATAATGGTGGAAACATTTTATCTGTTCCATCTTCCACCCTTCCTCCACTTTTAAATGCCCTAAAGAGGGAGGGAAACCACACGAACCTAAGCTGAACCTGCCCATCCTAGTCCCTGCACAAGTTTGTTCATTTTTATACAAAAAGGCAGCTGGAGATATATATATGTTCCTACCCTTCTCTGGTATTCAAAGACAGGGCAATGTTGAGAAGGACTTTATCAACTTATATTGTCTCTTTCAGCTGCATAACCCCAAAGTGAGGATACAGAAACTTCAAACTGTGTCAAGAGAATTCATCTTCATACAAGGGTGTGAGGAAACCAGCCAACTCCAAATAATGCTCTTGAATGAAAAAACATGAAAAAACCATTCACTGGGCAGCACTCAGTGTATATTCCAGATTAAGTGAAGACTTAAAAAAAAAAATAAACAGCAGCTGGGCAGAGTGGTCCATGCATAAAATCCCAGCACTTTGGGAGGCTGAGGCAGAAGGATTGCTTGAGCCCAGGAGTTTGAGGCCAGCTTGGGCAACACAGCAAGATGCTGTTTCAATAAATAAATAAATAAAAAACAATTAGCACATAAGCTATTTGCTGAATCTCAGTCCTGTGCCTAAGAGAGAAGATGTATTGGGGAACTCTAAATGAACTTTTATTTAAATTCCAGCACTGGGTCAATGAACCTTCAGAATGGACTCAGCTCCTGTCAACATTCTGGGCATGGCTCATGGCGACCACATACATATAACAAAAAGGTGCCAGGACAGTAAGGTGGGACACCACAAAACAGCTGTCAGAGGCATGTTCTTCTGTGATTACTATCTAAACTCAATCCTTCTGCAAACCTTGTTACAAGGCATTTTGTCCTTCTCAATATTGATGTTCTTATAGGGGAGGAGAACACAGTCAGGAATCAAGCTCATGAGAAGAGGCACGGCCATAGAGAAGTATAATGTCACCTACACCATCCAGCAGGCACCATCACTGGCATGAGCCAGAGAGCTTGATCCAGAGGAACCAATACCTCTATAAGTGGCTTTTTTAGTGAAAATCTACCCTCGAACAATATTATCAGGTTAACAACCAGGAGAGGCCAGGAGAAAAACGACTGTATTTATGTTATGAAAGAATTACTTACTGAGTTATTTTTATATCCAGCTCCAATGAAATATTTATACTTAAAAAAAATTTTTTTTTAGTTTTTTATGGAGACAGGGTCTTGCTATGTTACACAGGTTGGTCTCCAACTCTCGGCTTCAAGCAATCCTCCCACCTTGGCCTCTCAAAGTGCTAGGATTACAGGCATGCACCAACAAACACAACCGATACTTTTTAAAAAGAAAATATTAAGTTGATAAAGAGGCTGACAGAAATGGAAGGAGTCAGAGTGGCAATGAACTATAACCATTGAGAAGAAGAGCAAAACATGAAGAAAAAGAGCCACCTCCCACTAGCCTTGGAAGCACAGAGAAGAGTTTGGTTAATAGTTTTCCCACTACTCAGGTGAACAGAGGGACTCCTCTTCTTGATTCCATCAATTTGCATTCTTGTGAACCTTAGCTAGAGTTTACCTTTTGAATAAAAGATTATTAAACGTTAAAGGTTAAAATGCTGTTAAGGGCATTTTACACATGTTCATCGATGTGAAGGATGACTTTTTTCCTTTCTTCATAGCCCATGAAATATGAAGAATAGCAAGGCGCAGTGGCTCATGCCTGTAATCCCAGCACTTTGGGAGGCAGAGGTAAGAGGATTGCCTGAGCCCACAAGTTCCAGACCAGCCTGGGCATCATGGTGAGACCTTGTCTTTACAATAAATAAAAAAATTAGCCAGGCATGGTGGTGCATGCTTGTAGTTCCTGATAGTTGGAAGGTTGAAGCAGAATTGCTTGAGCCCAGCAGGTTGAAGCTACGGTGGCGGTGAGCATGCCACTGCACTCCAGCCTGGGTGACAGAGTGAGACTCTGACTCAAAAAAAAAAAAAAGAATGTAATACCCCTCACCCATGCTAAGATGGCTCGGTCTTGCAAGTAACTCTGCTCTGCAGTACTCAAGTGTATGAGAGAAACTCAACATAATCAAGTGGATAAAAGAAGAGCAAAAGAACAGGACATACCTGGTGTTTGTACAGGGGTGCATTTGAAGGGTCATCGTAGTTAAACAGAAACATGTTGATGAAGTGGATGAGGATGCTCGGGGCGTGCTGGGATACATGGACATCAAAGTGGCACCATTTGAAAATGATCATGAAAACCAAGTATCCAAACAGACACAGGATAAAAATCATCTCGGGGATAAATTGCAGAATGATGTTGAGAGTTTTTCTGAAGTATCTGGGGGTGGAAAACACACAAACGCACAAGCTTGAGCACCAAGGGAACATTAGGACTTAATTATTCTCCCAAAGCACAAAATGTTCTTTTTCTTTTTTTTAGCTCTTCTAGTAAAGAGCGGTATGCCCCTGGCAAACAGCAATCACATATGGATGGATAGAAAATAAGAAAAAGGAAATATTGAAAAGTACTTTTGGGCAAAAGATTCAGAGAACTACGGTCTAGAAGGCACTGTCTAAAGCAAAGGTCACGCCCACATAGAGAGGTGAAGATTTGACCACAGCTTCACATGCGGACCTGGCTCACAGGGACATACAGAAAGGCAAAAGGATACAGAATGGAGACTCGGAAGCTTCTTCCTAAGAGTGCTCTAAGATAGGGGTCAGCAAACGATGGCCCAGGGGCCAAATGAAGCTCATCATTTTTAAATTGTTGTGGGAAAAATAAAACAAAAGAAGAATAATATTTTATAATAAATGAAATTTACATAAAATTCAAATTTCAGTGTTCATAAATGATGTTATTGGGGCACAATCTCATTCATTTGATTTTTGTTGTTGTTTTTTATTTTTTGAGTCATGGTCTCACTCTGTCGCCCAGCTAGAGCACAACGGTGCAATCCCAGGTCAGTGAAGCCTCAAACTCCTAGGCTCAAGCGATCTTTCCACCTTTGCCTCCCAAGTAGTTGGGACTACAGATACACGCCACCACACCCAGCTAATTTTTAAAATTTTTTTGTAGAGACGAGGTCTCACTATGTTGCTCAGGCTGGTTTTGAACTCCTGGGCTCAGGCAATCCTCTTGTCTTGGCCTCTCAAATTGCTGGGATTACAGGTGTGAGCCACCGCACTCAGCCATCATTCATTTGTTGACATATTGTCTGCGACGGTTTTTATACTACATCAACAGGATTAAGTAGAGATGGTCCTCAGTTTACCATGACTCAACTCATGATGCCTTGCCTTGACGATGATATCCATACGACCCTTCTGTTTTTTATTTTCAGTACAGTATTCAATAAATCAGGTGGTGTGTGTGATATATACAACAACTTATTATAAGATAGGCTTTGTGTTAGATGGTTTTGCCCAACTGTAGGCTAACGTGAGTGTTGTGGGCACGTTTCAGGTAAGTGAGGCTAAGTAATCTATGAGATTCGGTAGAAATAACAAATGCATTTTTGACTGACAGTATTTTCAACTTACAATGGGTTTATTTTTGAATCATGGCCTCACTCTGTCGCCCAGGCTGGAATACAATGGTGCAATCCCGGCTCAATGAAGCCTCAAACTGGGTTATGAGGACATCACTCATCGAGGTTAAGGAGCATCTGTAGTTGCAACAGGCAAAGCCTAAACTATTTTCTGTCTGGCCCTTTACAAAGAGAGTTCTCCAACACACACAAAGAAAGTTCTCTGCTCTAACACACAGAGTCCTAGAAGGCTAACATGAGGACTTCCAAGTGAAACTATCAGAAAGGGCACTCAGATCCCTTGTTATCTGCAAGAATTATCAAGAGGAAAGAGTTCGTTTCACAATCAAATAGGATCGCTGAACAGTTGAGGCCTGCCTGACACACAGTGATGCCAATAACAGGTTAGTCCCCAAAGCAGTTTCAAGTGCTTTCATTCAATTCTCACAGCAAGTTCTAGTAGGCAGCATGAACAGTGTGCTTGTCAGTTTGCTCATTAAATATTTCTGGTTTTCCAAATACAATTGTATTTCTGTGCCCTCTCAAGTAACAGGTCACCATGTGACTTGCCCACAAAATGGGGACAGAAGTGGCAGGTGTGACGTCCAGGTCTAAACTTTAAGAGTCGATGTGTAACTCAGCCCCCTCCTTCTGTCATGGCAGCTGACAATGTTCCAGGTAGTGGCTGCTCATCAGCTCAGGTCCTGGTGTAAGGATGACAGGAGCTGAGCCTCGAGGGGCCCATGATGCACATGTATCATGGTCTTAGCCACTGAGATTTGGAGTCTGTTTAAATTACACAATATCCCAACCTATTTTGACTACATATTCCCATTCTATTAAAAAAAAAAAAAAAAAGGAAAATCTCAGAGATGTTAAGCACAAATCTATGATCACACAGCTACTAAAAGTTAGAAACAGGACTTAGACTTCTGATTCCAAACCCTGCATCACTTCTGTGGCCCCGAGCCACTCCCCCACTCCTAACTAAATGACAGCAGGATTCCACAACCCCTACAAGACAGCAGCTGGGTCCACAAATGGCATGTGCCAATAGGCACATTTGAAGCTGTTTTTAAACATTTATACCTTTAACATAAACAAGGTTCAGATGCTCAGCAGTCATAGATCTTGACAGAAAAGAAACAGACAGGACAACATCAACAGCCAAAGAAGCAAGAGACAGAGAGAGAGAGAGAGAGACTGCTACAGCAGGAAGAAATGATACCACACGGAATGCAGAATCTCAGGGCACCTTGGCCAAAATTCACTTACATCCCTCTTGGCCCCTGGTGGGAGCTCAGCCTGGATATGGCACCAACCTAGGTCTTTCAGGTTGGGGGACACAAGGTACAATGAGTTTTCCAGTCTTTTTTTTTTGAACCTTCAAATATTTCTGGGGTGAGAAGCACACTTCCTTTTGAGGGACTTTGCTCAGGAGTAACAGAGGGGCCGCTGTTTCTGGTCAATGAGCTTGTCCTGGCTCAAGCCAAGACACAGGGAAGCACTCTCCATAGGAAGGAAGCTTGTACAGAGGGATGCAGGAGGACTGGTGTCTCTGCCATGATTCATCATCACGTGATCAGACAGAACAGGCAGAGGTGAATCAGGAAACTTACATGTGATTGAAAAGGCTGAGAATAACTCCAAAAACCATCTGGACAATTCCCAGGATAACTGACATCTTCATCTTATAGGAGTTCAGAAACGTGAGTTTGTTTGAAGCCAAGTTCCAGATCTGGATGGGAAATATGACAAGAAACAGGTGAGACAGGGTCTTAGCCGTGCTCCCAGAGTCAGGGGCTACAGCACGATTTCCCCTGAGCAAAGCACTCTGGGAACTGCACTTTCAAATTTTAGTCCAGCTCAATGAATGCATTTTAAGCTCAGAACGGAAAAGGATGAAGCCTTTTATAAATGCAACTTTAATGATGAAAGTGTCCAGACCGTTAATGCCATTATTAAGTAGCTGGAAGAAAATGGGGAGAGGGGATACTACACGAAACATTAACCTGAAACCTTATGGAGAGATCTCACACTTGCCTCACTCACTCAGTAATGGCCTGTAGATCACAGGTCCACGAATGTATCCAGTCCTCTTTAATAACAGGGCCATCTGAATGTCAATAGCACTTTACACGGTAAAGCATTTCCCCAGGCCCTCCCAAGAAGCCATTCCTGCAGCCAAGGCGAAGACTCAGTCCCGCCCCCTAGCGGTCTCTGTTGTTTAAAACAGCTGTTTAAACCTCTGTCAGGCTTACAAGGCGAAGACGCATTGCACCTATCCTGAGGCATAGAGCAAGCACAGGTGGGTGGTCAGGGGGCCGGTCGGGGTCCCATGCTGTTTAACAATCCCAGTCACGAATGCTCCTCTTGCCCACAGGAATCTCAGCGTCGCCATGGCTTGCACTCCCAAGCCTACACAAACAGTTCCAAGTCCTTGTTCCTGACCCTGACCCTGCCTGACCTTTAGACGTATCCCACACCACCTAGTAGTCTTCAGGGTTTGCTCTCCTGCATCGCAAAGGTAACAAAGTCACAGTGGCCTTCTCACTTTCCTTCCTAAATGACTTTCTCCTCCAGAGTTGCTTGCTTCTGTTAAGAGGCCAACATCCAACCAGGGACAGCCTCAGTATGTAATCATCTCAACCCCTCCACTGAGTGTCCTGGCACACACACAGTCATGGCCTGCATTCTTCCTCGGCAACGTCCTTAGCCAGCCCACCCGGGCACCCACTAAGGAGGCTGGGAAGGAGGGAGAAGGGATTCCAGTAACACATGCTCAGACCTCAGGGGCACCACCTTGATCTTCATATTGACCTTTGCATCTAAGATACACCAGGCCTGCCCCTGCAGCCTGTCCCTGATCCTGCCCACCTGGTCAGTCAGTCCCCACAGGGGCACACTATGTGGTTACCAGCACACTATAGACCAGCCAAATCTGATAAACTAAAAGTGTTCATAGTTAATACCAGGCACATCCTAAGTTCTTTAGATGTATTTATGTCAAAATACAAAAATACAAAAGCACTGTGGGATAGATATAATTATTCCCATTTTACAGATAAAGGAATTTATCATAATCTCAGGAAGATTAAGTTATTTATATACCTACCTTATATACCTAGAAAGAAATAATCTAACATCAACTAACATTCATGGGGCCATTTACCATGTTTGTGCACCAGACTCTGTTCTGGGAGTTTTACATGTAAAAGTAATTTCATCTGCTGAGCAACCCTAGGAGTTAAGGCTATTACTGTTGCCACTTTACAGGTGAGGACAGATACAGAGATGTTAACTTACTCAAACTCACAAAGAAAGTAAATAGAAAAGTCAAGATTTAAACATAGGCAGACTGATTCAAGGGTGTGGCTCTTAACCATTTTATGTTCATTTATCATAAAATATTTAGAAACATGTTAGGGTCTCTCAGCTATAATGAAAGTCAAATACTCCGTGATTTGATTCACAAGTCGATGCTGAACGCAGATCTTGGAGGAACAGAACTGCAGTAACAAAAGAAGTAGGAGGCTGAGCACAGTGGCCTGTAATTCCAACATTTTGGGAGGCCGAGGCGAGAGGATTACCTGAGTCCAGGGGTTCGAGACCAGCCTGGACAACTTGGTGAGATCTTGTCTCTACAATAAATTTTTAAAAAATTAGCCAGGCGTGGTAACATGCGCCTGTGGTTCCAGCTACTTGGAGGGCTGTGACAGGAGGATCACCTAAGCCCAGCAGGTCGAGGTTGCGGTGACTATGAGCATGCCACTGCACGCCAGCCTGTGTGACAGAGTGAGACTCCAATTTAAAAAAAAAAAAAAAAGAGCTAGCAAAGGTAATTCCTGCTTTTCTTTTTTAAAATAATGTTTTGTATTATACAGATGTTCATCATTTATGCATATTATTTTAGGATAAGGAGACCAGAAATTTTTCAAAATTCCAAATGTTACAGGAAAAAAATTTCATTACCTCCAACATGACACTTTCTCTTTCACCCTGACATTTTCTTCTTTTTTAACTTGTAGGCAGATGACAAAACTGCATGCCGGCTAGAAACTTTGGACCACTCAGTTCTGAAATGTGAGATACGATAGCTCGACTCTGAAGAGCAGAATTGGGCAGGACTTGCTAATAAACTGGATGTGGGATGTGGAAGGAATAGAGAAGACTGGCGTGGCAATGAGATTTAAAGCAAAGAAGAAATCCAGCCCCTGAAGTCCTCCCCACTGTGCTCCTCACTAATAATAAAATTCATTTGACTAAGGCTAAAGCCGTTCAGGCTGCAAAAATTATCAACTCACATTTATTTTTAGCACTTTGCAGCTTACAGACCAGCTTTCAAAGACTTTGCCATTTTTTAAAAAAACTTAGAACTCAAGTACTCCTGGTAGCAAGTATAAAAACATTTTGGGCAATGCTTTCTGCTTTTATAAAGGTGGGGAGGTGGGGAGACGGTGGAGGACACAGGAAAACTGAACACGGGGCAGTTCACAAGATAGGAGAGACTGAAGAATCAATTTTAGTGCAGTATTGTTTATGCCCAGCTGCTGGCAATTAAAATTGAGGTCTCAGGTTCTCTCCCACAAAGAGAAAACTTGGACAAAACATTTATGAACTGCGATTGCCAAGTTCAGTTTTCAGCTCCTCAAGTTTATTTGGAACACAAGGCCGCCACCTGGTGGCAGTATGCACTGGGCCAATACGGATGCACTGCTTCCCACGAATGGGCTATTCACCTACTCAAAACCCTTCTATATCTAAAGGTTGCAAGGAAGCACCTTCATTTTGCTTGGTTCAAATCTAGTTGACTGAGACAGAGACAACAAACAAACAAATAAAAAAAGGACATACCTTGTGTCAATTCTGTGCAGTAAAATAAAGCAAAAACAAACAATACTTTTTGTTTTTCTAGGAAAAAGAGAGAAGTTTCTTTTTTTTTTCTAGGAAAAAGAGAGAAGTTTCCCAATGCAAGAAAATGCCAAAGCAGGGAGCTTGGTTAGGATGCTAAATAGCTTATTTAATGTGCATACTTTTCAGGCAACCAAGAACCTTTTACAGAAGTAAGCATTAACCACCAGGAGTATAACTGATGGAAAAAGAGGTAGATGTTTGGGGAGCTGAGTGGAAAATGACCCAGGGGCCAGGTAGAGCAGGCAGGTAGAACATTTACTTGAATCTGGCTCTGTGTCACAGAAACCTCCAATACAGGTTATTCTGTCTCAGTCTAAGCTTATGGATTTGGCAGGTTATGGCCCTTTCTTTGTCTAGAGATATCCTTAACAAAAGTTTAAATAGTAACATTCAACCCAAGAAGACATTATTACCGGATCGATTCCAAATGGATATGGATTTCCAGCATACACTCCAGGCATGGCTGGGTCCAGCTGTAAATATGGACTTGTCTCCATTACATGAGCACTTCAGCAGGAAAATGGGGGGAAAAAAAACAATGATCAACCAGAGGCAGGAAAAAAATACTATAGTCATCAACTTGCCAATCAAGCCCAACTGTTGACAATTCATCAATTTGGTTTATTCAATTGCTCCGTGAATGGATATTGCCAAGTATTGTCCTAGTTGCTAAGGCTACAGAAAATACTGCCTGGCCCCCAAGAAGTTAGTTCACAATCTGAGTTTCCAAAGAGCTCTCAGCCTGAGGGGATACGGTAGAGAAAATCAAGAGTTGTGCTATATGAGAAAAGAGGTTGTAGGCAGGGGTGATGGGAGTATTTAGGAAAGAAAGAAAACCCAGCCCAAGGATAAGCTTGAAAAGTCTTCCCAGGGAACATTGGGCTGACCCTGAAAGACAAATATGCTTTTCACATACAGACCTCAGCCGCTGCGAAACTGAGCCATAAAAAACTAGTCCAGTGACTATTTTGCTTTTTGGTTTTTTTGAGTTGGAGATCTCACTCCGTCTCCCAGGCTAGAGTGCAGTGGTATAACCACGGCTTACTGCAGCTTTGACCTCCTGGGCTCTGATGATCTTTTTACCTCAGCCACCCAAGTAGCTGGGTCTACAGGTACGCACCACCACATCCAGTTAACTTTTTGACTTTTTGTAGAGATGAGGTCTTGCTATGTTGCTTAGGCTGGTCTTGAACTCCTGGACTCAAGCAATCCTCCTGCCTCAGTCTCCCAAAGTACTGGGATTACAGGCACGAGTCACCATGCCCAGCCTAATTTAAATCTTTATTTTATTTTATTTTTTTTTGAGTTGGAGTCTCACTCTGTCGCCCAGGCTGGAGTGCAGTGGCCGCTCCCGGCCACTGCAGCCTCGACCTGCTGGGCTCCGGCGATCCTTCCGCCTCAGCCCTCCGAGTAGCCGGAATTACAGGCACGCGCTACCACGCCCAGCTGATTTTTGATTTATTGTAGAGATGAGGTCTCGCCAAGTTGCCCAGGCGGGTCTCGAACCTATGGGTTCAGACAATCCACTCACCTCAGCCTCCCAAAGGCGCGGGATTACAGGCTGAGCCACTGAGCCCGGCTACATCTTTAAATCTGTGTCCCATTTTGCCCAGAAGCATGAATGCCGTGGGAAGACATGTCTTACTCTGTCTCTGCAGGCCTTAGGGGATGAGAGCATTAGGGTTTGTTGTTGTTGTTGTTTTTAAGAGCAGGCATCTGTGAGAAGCCCTGAGGAATGAGTGTTTGAAATGATAAAGAACAGAAGGCTGACAAGACACTCCCTTCCCTCTGTAACGAGGTGCCAGGGGTCTTAGGGAGCAGCTGAAGGAATCAGAAAGCCCAGACCCTTCACATACAGTGGGCACAGCTGGCCCTGACTCACTACCCCAGACATAGAGCCCTGTGCCAATGGCATACCTCAGTGCAAATGGCTGGATTTCATTAGCAGACATGTGTCAGCGTGCTAACAAAGAGAAAAGTCACCTTTGTTTGGCAGGAGGGAACCGGCCTAGCACCCACAGCTAAGCTGTAGTATCTCCCGCTGAGCATAAACAACTTCACAGGACACCAGTGTCAGATAAGGCCACCTTGTGACAATGACGGAGCAAGAAAAAACAAGATCATCCCACGGTCATATCCTGATACAGGCAGAAAGAAGGACCTAGTCCAAACCACAACAAGGACCAAACATGCCCCATCCTGACACAGGCCAGGTCCACTAAGTCTTTCTAATACCCTCTTGCTGAGATGTCATTTTCCCTACGGTGCACCATCTCCCTGGTTGAGCTTAAGCCAACGTCGGTGACTACGGACACATTTCCCATAGTCTCTGACTGAAGGACTTGTCCAGGGAGCAGGCCCACGACTGCTTGGTCGTGGTGATCAAAAGCAACTTTCTGTGCTTCGGAGGTGATGGGTGACTGGAATTTATCAGGTTCTGCTTTACCTTACTGACACTGGCTGAGTATTTCTCAGGTCCGGGCTCCAGCATCACGGAAGAACTTTGAACTGGGGTAAGTCACTGGCATGTACATCTGAGGACAGCATTGCTACCCTCATCTGCAGAGTGATACCAAGCCAGTCAGCTTAAGCCTTTCACAATCTCACTCCAGGGGAAATGAAATTGCATGTTGGTAGTCTGGCGAAATTACACAGATTTAATATGTTTTAAAACTCATCTCTATCTAACAAGTAGAACTAAGTCGATTTGTTTTTAAATGTATGAAAGTTTTGCTCTTCTAGGCAGCTCTTTAGGATTCTAATTGCAAAGCAAAAAAAAAAAGAAAGGAACCACAGATATAGCCATCTGTATGTAATTTGGTAAGACATTTTAACCTTACTTTTCTCTATTTATTTATTTTAACATTGCCAATCTCTGCAACAGGGAACTCAGACCTAGCAGAGACACTAAAAGTGAATGTGTTGGAACCTCCCCGACACACACTGAAAAACACTGCATTCCCTTAGACCTACCTCTCAACACCAAGCCCTTTGAAACACCCTTGGGAAAGCTCCTGTCAAAAGATACCCTGGATAGAATCTTTTCTGACTGAAGAATACTTGTGTGAGATGGGTTGTTTATTCTCTCCCCCATTTATGATATTTACTACAGATTCTGGTAAGCAAGTAGAACCCTTGAAATGCCTTCAGTGAAGATTCTAGAACCTACCATGCTTGGGAAAGAAAGAAATGAGCTGGGCTCAGTGGCTCAGCCTGTAATCCCGCGCTTTGGGAGGCTGAGGTGAGTGGATTGCCTGAGCCCGCGGGTTCGAGACCCACCTGGGCAACTTGACGAGACCTCATCTCTACAATAAATCAAAAAAATTAGCCGGGCGTGGTAGCGCGCGCCTGTAGTTCCAGCTACTTGGAAGGCTGAGGCGGAAGGATCGCCGGAGCCCAGTAGGTCGAGGCTGCGGTGGCCGGGAGCAGGCGACAGAGTGAGACTCCAACTCAAAAAAAAAAAAAAAAGAAAGAACAGGAATGGAGGTTGTAAACATGTGTACACATCTCTGCCTTCACTTTCTTTTGGTCTCCTTTCTCATACATTCAACTGGAAATTCCACAATGAGACCAAGAAACCTTAAGCTGATGCTGACCCAAAGAAGCTGGGCAGGCAGATGTCAAGAAACATCACCTGAGATTTGTAGGTTTCATAAATTAGTCCTTAAGCTGCTGCGGGAATCTCAGGTTTGTAATGCACACAGCCCAAGATCCCCCTGAAATCCCAAGGTTGTCAACATGTCTGTTTATTCCTTTGGAGTCCTCCAACCTTCAGGGTCCTCTATTCTCCCCAATTCATCTCACCAACCCACCTCTCGGACTCCCCATGGAAGTCACTGCTCCTGACATGTCATGCTGCCAGTCTGATGACTGTTCAACTGATTAGCCACGCACGTTGTGGAGTGTGTCTGGGAGGTGTGGTCTGTGGGAGTCTGGAGAGCCCCCAGATCCCTCTGTTCGGCAGCTCCCACATCTCCTCAACAGGTCCCTTCATCCACCTGCCCCTCATGCTCTGTCAGCCACGGGGCAAACATGGGTCTGGCGCTGCTGAACTAACCCTCTCCTCCTTTGTTGTTGATGTTAACATCCAGCTGCCCTGAACAGCCAAAGAAAATGCCCTTCTGAGAGTCTGGGTCCTTGAATAAAATGGAGACCGCACAATTCAACATCTGCACTGGTCTTTCTGAAAACAAGGCTTTCCGCCCAAAGCATTTGGATGCATCATTTTACTTTACCTCCAGGTCCCTGCTGAAGCAACAGGTCCCTGCTGAAGCAAAGTGTGTTTCCAGTTCTACCTTCTTCTCCGTGCTGCCTTGCTTCTATGATTCATTCCTACCATGAGAACAGTTTGCATCTGCTCTGCACTTGTTTTCTCAATAGGGCCTGGTGTGCAGTCTGCACTCCATACTATATATAGGGGACCCAACACAAATCAGGAATTATCTTTTGGAGGGTGGGCCCCTGGTAGTACAGGCATCTTCCACTAGGTAAGTGTTCTAGGAACCCATGGGCATCAGTATACCAGCTAGCATTGTTGTGAGAAGGTGCATTTGGCTTCACTGAATTTTTTTTTTTTTTTTTTTGCGATTCTTTCAGTGCCTTTGCCCATTTCATGATGGCTGATTTGTGAATGCACCTGCCCACACGGCACTTAGTGTTCAGCAGTTTTTGACCAAAAACAGCATGACCCCCATGCCCCACCCTCCATATTCATTCAGTCTTACCCAGAGTAAATTGTTTTTTGTTTCCCTGGATGAAAAAAGTCCTTAAAGGGAAACGTTTTGCCAATGCGCAAGAGGTGAAACAAAAAATGGCAGAAGTACTACCAGGAATCAAAATTGACGAGTTCAAAAACTGTTTTGAGCAGTGAAAAAAGCCTCTCAATAGGTGTATTGCATAAAATGAAGAGTACTATGAAGGTGACTAAAGTTTAAACATATAAGAATACACAATTTTTAATAAACACATTCTGGGTTTTTTGAGTCCCCTCTCATATATTTAACTGAACTGAAATCTTGAAAATTGCCTCCACACATTCGTTACTAGCACAGGGACTGAAAAGGTGGCATAGGTCTTACACTCAGGAGATAAAACGGAATTATTTGTTGAATTTCCAAGTGCACCTCTGAGCAAAGCCAGGCAGTTTCCCCAGTCATGAAAACAGTCCCTGAGACCACCTGGACAGTCAGGGAGTAGGCCATCCTGACAGTAAACTTACTTCCAGGTGCCATTTCTGAACATAGGTTGGACACTCCAAGAAGAGCCAAAGATGTTGAGAGACTTGGAGAAGCAATCGTTGTAGATCAAACCCGTGTAGATGGAGAAGATGCCCATCAGTAGGATCAGGTAGCGTCCGTGGAAGAAGGTATTCCAAATCTGGCCTCAGGGTGATAAAGGATGATTGTCAGTACTTCTGAACCAGACTCTGGAGGAATGTGTGTTATAGGATGTCTCCAGCATCACTGGCGTGGGCACCCATAGAAGAGCCACATGACTAGGCAGACATAAATAAACCAATAGGAAGAGCACACACATTGTGACCTTTTGGAACTTGCATAGGTGAAAACAGAAAAGTCCTAGACTGGTATTTGTTGGAAACAAAACAAATAAGCCTATGTTTTCATTCAGCAGGGGTTAGAAAATAGACTCAAGTGCAAGTCAAGGCCTCACCTATGGAGAAAGGGATTTAAAAGTGGGTGGAGGCCAGGCAGTGGCTCATGCCTGGAATCCCAGCACTTTGGGAGGCCAAGGTGGGAGGATGGCTTGAGCCCAGGAGTTTGAGATCAGCCTGGGCAACATAGCAAGGCCCCATCTCTACAAAAATAAAAATGAAAAATTAGCCAAGTGTGGTGGCACACACTTGTAGTCCCAGCTACTCAGGAGGCTGTGTCAGGGGGATGGCTTGAGCCCAGGAGGTCAAGAATGTAGTGAGCCGTGACTGGACCATTGCACTCCAGCCTGGGTGACAGAACAAGACTCTGTCTGAAGAAAGAAAAAAAGAAGGGAGGGAGGGAAGGAGGGAAGGAAGGAAGGAAGGAAGGAAGGAAGGAAGGAAGGAAGGAAGGAAGGAGGTAGCTGTTGTCTTAGGCGTTTTTAGGGGACAAGCACTGAGCTAGCCTCACATAGCTACTACATTTATGGCAAGTCAAATCGACATGCATTTGGGTCTTGTCATTGTAAAGTTGAGTCTCTACGTCTGCTATGTCTTTGTAAAGGGGCCAGGTGAGATAGATCATACCTGTAATCCCAACACTTTGGGATGTCAAGGTAGGAGGATTGCTTGAGGCTAGGGTTTCAGAACCAACCTTTGCAGCATAGCAAGACTCCATCTCTACAAAAATTTTTAAAAATGAATTAAAAAGAAGAGTAAAGGGCTTTCTCATAATCCTGAGTGACATGGTTTAACCATCCCAGGAACTGCCAATGTGTTTCTGAGATTTTAAATGTGTACCATAGAAAATTGTCTCTGTTAAGCTTGTCACGGAAAGCTACATGGGTCACAGGTCGGTTCTGCCCCCTAACCTCAACATCATTAAACTAGCTCTAGTGAATTCAACCCGCGATAGAGGACTGCAGATATTCTTAAAATCAGAAGGCAGCTGCTGGGTGCGGTGGCTCATGTCTGTAATCCCAGCACTTTGGGAGGCAGAGGCAAGAGAATTACTTAGCCCAGGGGTTCGAGACCAACCTGGACAACTTGACGAGATCTCGTCTCTACAATGAATAAAAAAAAAAATAGCCAAGTGTGGTGGCACATGCCTGTGGTTCCAGCTACTTGGACGGCTGAGGCGGAAGGATCATCTGAGCCTAACAGGTTGAGGCTGCAGTGGTCATGAGAGCGTCACTGCACTCCAGCCTGGGTGACAGAGTGAAACTCCCACTCAAAACAAACAAGCAAAAGAATGCAGCTAAAGTGTGTGCCCACATTGTACATCATGTTACCGTGAACATAAAGTGATTAACATTGACTGAGAAACTGTGAACCAATGCAGACTCTTGCATTGCCTCAACCTTCACAGTGCTCTAAAAGGGCACTTGAGGAAGGTGGGGGAACTTTAGGGGTGACATTGAGGAAACAACATTCAGGGTTTCACAAGAACACTGGTCCCAGGCTTGCTCTACCATGAACAAATATTCAAATTTTGAAGAAAAAAAATATGAAGCAACAAGTAATATGATGCCAATTTTTAAAAAATTATATATTTGCATATAAGCACAAAAAATTTAAAAACATATCCAAAAAATATTAATTGTGATTTTTTTTTTTTTTTTTTAGTTGGAGTCTCACTCCGTCACCCACCCCAGCGTTGACATGCTGGGCTCCGGCAATCCTCCCACCTCAGCTTTCCAAGTAGCTGAAACTATAGACACGCGCTACCACTCCTGGCTATTTTTTTTTTATTGTAGAGATGAGGTCTCACCAAGTTCCCTGGGTTGGTCTCGAATCTGCAGGCTCAGGCAATCCACTCACCTCCCAAAGTGCTGGGATTACAGGTTGAGCCACTGAGCCCAGCCTGATTTTTTTTTCTTATTGAGTTGGTGTCACCCAGGCTGGAGTACAGAGGCACACTTATAGCCACCACAGCCTTGACCTGCTGCGCTCAGGCAATCCTTCTTCCTCAGTCTTCCAAGTAGCTAGAACTATAGGCATGCACCACCATGCTCAGTTAATTTTTTGAATTATTGTAGAGATGATGTCTCGCCAAGTAGCTCAGGCTGGCCTCAAACCCCTGGGCTCAGATAATCCTCTCACCTCCACCTCCCAAAGTGCTGGGATTACAAGCGTGAGTCACAGTGCCTGGTCTTTAATTGTAATTTTTTTCTAGGTGATTAGATTGTTGGATTTTTCTAATTTTTCAATGACCATGGATTGTGTTTATAATCAGGGAGAAAAATCAGTGTTAGAAAAAAAAAATAAAGGAAAAAAGTCAATACCTTGTCAAGTCATAGGCAAAAAACAAAAATGCTGAAAGAAATCGCACCAGCCATCTAAGGGGACTAACTTCAGCCAGGAATCTCATGCAAATTTTGGTTCTTTTTTCACTTTTCTTCTTCCTCTTCACTTTTTTTTTTTCATAAAACATGCTATTTCTATGAAGAAAACTGTACCCAGATTTTAATATTCTGCTTCAAGGAGATGAGGTGAGGCAGTCCATGGACACCCACCTCATTGTCTGACTTCTGGGACAGCAAGCGTCTCTCGTTAAGAACCATCCAGAGGGCTGCCAGGAGCATCACAATTCCATGACCACAGTCTCCGAACATCACAGCGAACAGGAAGGGAAAAGTGATGATAGTATAGGGAGCTGTGGAGACAGACCCGTAATAGCCTGAGGCCTCTGAGCAGCCTTTGGGCCCTCACCACACTTCTCTGCCACACTCTGACGTCTGCAGGTCTGTTTCCTGGTATCTTTCTGATCATCTTTCTTCACCACCATCCTTACCTGCTCAGCTCCCACATCCACAAGCTCCTCCATGGGGAAGCATTCTTATTTCTCACTTCATAGATGCCCTGAGTCTTAGGTTAAATGACCTGTCCAAATTTGGTGGGATTTAAAAACAGTTTTCAGTTTCTAAGTGCTTTTTGTATTCTTTCTACCACCATCTTCTGCCTCTTCCTTTGCCGTTGACATGTACCACACACCACCAGCGATTTACTCACAGGGACCTTCTGCATTATGGGCCACTAGTTAGACTGGGGCTCAAGCTGGAGAATAACCATGTCATGTGCTGCCAAGGCTAATGGGCATCTGGTCTACCCCTTTATCTTATTAACTGGGCTTCCAAGGTCCCACAGCTCAGAACACAAACAATCCTGTCTTTGGACTCCAAATTGTACGTGCTCGTGTCTTTCCCACACAATATCTCTAGGACTGTGAAGGTGCTGAGAGATGACTGCTGAATTGGTGAAGAAAACAAGAACTGACTTCAGTTGTCTGATTAGACTGCAGTTCAAAGGAGAACAGGCAAAGACAAAAGAACAACTCTTTACCAATTGGCATTTGTGGAAGACAACACAGGTGTTAGGAAACTAAAGATTTCAAGAATGTCACAGTTTTAATAAATTCACTTCCTAGGTCACTTCAGATGTACTCTGACCCAATTTTCAATTTTAAGCTACCTAGTTGTGCAGTGCATCAGATCTTTACCTGGGTTTAACTCCCGGTAACTGCCTACTCCATACGCGTCAACAATATTCTGGAAGCCAGCTGTAAATTTATTGGTCCTGTTAAACGTGGGAGGGGCTGTTTTAGACTGCACTGTTGTCATGATGGGGGCCATGGAGGAGCCACTTAGTTCCTGCAAAAAGAACACGTGACAAAAATGTCAGAAAGATTTTCCTGATTGTATTTCTCTCCACCCCCCAACACACACCAAATGTCAGGAAGAGAGCCTGGGTCTGAGTGTCAGCACATGAGTCACAGTTCCTGCCCTTGCTGACACTTACGGAGTGAACTTGGGACAATCTCTTGACCTCTCTGAGACTTGTGACCTCAACTATAAGGAGTAATTTCTCCCCAATACTTTTCTCATTTACCTTACAGGAGGGCTGTCAAGAGAACAGAGACCCTCCATTACCCTGCAGTGTTCATTCTCCTGCTTTAAAAGTGTGCACTCATAACTTGGTCCCAGGCCCTCCATGCTTCCCATTCTCCCACTTTCTCAACGCATCCCTATCTTCTGAATGGCCCTGAACCTTTCCCAAATCCCCCACACACACTTTTTTTTCTGATTGCCTGCTCAGGTCTTCAAATTCTGTGTCTCACTAACGCCACAAATTCCAGGAGCCTAAACCTGAATTCGTCAACTTGCCCCAAAGTCAGATTCCTCTACAGCCTCCCTGCTTCCTTCATTCTTGCAGCTTCTAAACCACTGGAATCATGGGATTTTTCCGGCATCTGATTCAATCAGTCCAGGTACCCACCTTCTGGTCTTGCTAGCTCTCCCTTCTGAGTCCCTCTTCTTTCTGTTCCCACGGCTCCCTCCCAATCTCATCATCTCCTCTAGTCCCTTCCCAAATTTATCTTACTCAGATTACTAAGTACTCTTTTAATAAAACAAACCAAAAGCACTACTATATTCATGTTACTCTCCTGCTCTAAAATCTCCAAAGGCTTCCCATTACCTAAAGAACAAAATAAAAACTCCTCAGTCTTGTAATCAAGACTTCCTTACAATACTGACTTAATCCTGTATTCACATCCTTATCCTCCCCCTGGAAATCAGTCCGGTCTATGCTAGCCTTCCCTCCTCTCCACTTACCCATTGTTTAAATCCTCCATGTTCCCTGCCCTGGAGCCTTCCAGTCACCACAAAGCCCAACAGCACCTGCCGTCCACACACTCAGTAAGACCTGACACTTCCGCTGCCTTCAGAAAACCCCTTCCTCCCCAGCCCTTGCTTCACCTGCCCACTGATCAGTCTTCCATGGGTCAGCTCACACATTCCTTCCTCCAGGATGCACCCCTGCCCTGCTCAGTCTGGGCAAAATGCTCTTTTTTTTTTAGTTATGGCATGATGCCCCTCACTGTAGCCTTGACGTCCTGGGCTCAGGCTGTCCTTCTGCCTCTGCCTCTGAGTAGCTGGGACTACGGGCACGTGCTCCCTGACTGGTTTATTTTTAAATTTTTTTTGTGGAGACAAAGTTTCACTGTTGCCTAGGTTGATAAAATGCTCTTTTTAAATGCCCCATTCATTAGTTTTTGGATCATGATGTGGGGGCTAAGAAGAACACTTTCTGCATTCAAATCCCACCTCCTGGTTACATGGTTGTAGGCAAGTTACTTCTAACCTCTGCGCCTCAACTGTCTCATCTATATGTAGAGAATCCAAACTGCCTCTACCTCCTAGTCCATTCCCACCTCAAAGCCTTCACCTTCAGATCCCTCAGGCTGAAAGGTCCTCCTCCCACCCCTAATCTTCCCATGGCATCAAGGCCACCCACTCAGAGAGGCTGCCTCTGGCAACAGACGCCAGGAGATCCCCTGCTCTCTCCTGACATTCCATCCAGTTTCTGATACTGCCCAGTCAGCTGCACACTACCCAGTCCTCAACCCAATGGGCTTCACCTCCCTGACACCCCATGAGATAATTCAGACTAGCTAATGACATCCTCCTGCAGGAACTAAAGGTCACCCTACCCTCTTGTCACTATAGAGCCTGCCTTCCATAGGCCCCGCTGGTTCACTGTGCTCCCAAGGGCAGATCCTGAGTGCTGCCCTGGGTGGCCCTGTGTGGCATATGATCTCCTTCCCTGGGCTAAGAGTATATGTGTATTGAACAGCTGTTAATCTCGTCTGTCCAGTGTCAGGTGTATTATGTAAAAGTGCAATATGTTCAGCCATCTTGTACTATTCAGGGCAGGGGATTCCTCCTTCTTCAAAGGGATGAACAAATGATCAGAACAAGCTTGCATTCTCCATCCCATCTCTCCTGTTAATCCTCCTGCTTGGTTTCCTGCCCAGCAGTCATGACTGCCTGAAATCCGTCCGTCATCAGCATGCTTTTGTGTCCCTTTCTAGAAAGTCTGCCAGTGTGGCCCTACCTCCATTCCTGATGTACAGTGAATGTGTAAGAGATGATTGGAGAGAGCTGTGAGAATTAAACAAGATACACAGTGCTCAGCACAGTTGCTAGTACACGTGAGCAACCCACACATTTTGACTGTTGTTATAGGTGCTTGATCATTTGTCCTTCCAGCTAGACTGTAACCTCCATGAGATTAGGGATGGTGTCTACAGTCTAGCAGAGTGACTGGCCCATCAGTGCTCAATATATACTCACTAAAAATCCAAGAAATGTTGATCAATTGTCAAATACTGAAAGAAAAAAATAATAAAAAGGATTTCTTTTATGTTCCCTAGCATTGGGTTAAGAACTGAAGACATTGGCCAGATGTGGTGGCTCACACGTGTAATCTCAGCACTTCAAGAGGATTGCCTGAGCCCAGGGGTTCAAGACCAGCCTGAGCAACCTAGCGAGACCTTGTCTCTACAATAAATTTTAAAATTAACCAGGTGTGGTGGCACGCGCATGTAATTCCAGCTACTGGGAAGGCTGAGGTGGAAGGATTGCCTGAGCCTAGCAGGTCGAGGCTGTGGTGGCTGTGAGAATACCACTGCACTCCAGCCTGGGCGACAGAGTGAGACTCCCACTCCAAAAAAACCAAAAAACAAAAACAAAAAAAAGAAACAAAGAACAGAAGACATGAAGATAAAGACAATCCTATCACTGAGTCACTTTCGAAGTCCTCATGATATAGGAGACCAACACCCTAGAGAGCCCGGCAGAGGAGCTGACTCATCCAACCCTCCCCAGCTCCCCCAGCCACACACCATGCCTTGCTCTAGTGCCCTCTTGATGCGTGCAGTGTCTGCCACCGGGAACCAGATCTCAGCAATGACACACTGCTGAGTGACGTCAATGTTACACATGTTCAGGATGTGGTAAATGGCCTTCATCTTCTGCACCTTGATGATCCAGGAATGCCAGTTGGCAGCTGCTTCCTGCAGCAGGCGCTGGCGGTGAGACTCCGTTTGTGTTATGACCTGGGCAGAAAACAACACACAGGAAAGCAGGTTACATCTGTGGAGGTATTTGACAACGTGGCAAAATTGGAAGCTCATCAGTCATAGTGGCTGCCCAGCTCTGGGCTCACTCCTTCAACCTGCAGTTCCCAGCTTTCATGAGTGGTTTATCTCCCCTAGTAGAGGTGAACCCCCTTAGGCAAGTATTGCTTCTTCCTTTTCTTCTGAATTCCTTATAGTCGTGTTATTATGGGTTGAATAGTGACCCCTAAAATATGTGTTGAAATCCTAAACCCTGGTACCTGTGAATGGGACCTCATTTGGAAAGAGAGTCTTTGCAGATGGATTTGGCTGGGTCTAATCCAATATTACCATTGTCCTTATAAAAAAGGAATACCACGTGACAACAGAGGCAGAAATTGGAGTGATGCATCTACAAGCCAGGCAACACCAAGGATTGCTGACAACCACCAGAGCTAGGAAGAGGTAAGAAAGGATTCTCCCTTAGCATCTTCAGAGGGAGCACAGCCCTGCTGATATCTTGATTTCAGACTTTTAGCCTCCAAAACCTTGAGAGAATAGATTCCTATTGTTTTAAGCCACCCAATTTGTGGTAATTTGTTATAGCAACCTAAGAAATTAATACATCTACCAAAATGCTTCATATACATACATAATCCCCCCAATAAATGATAAGTGAATTAGCGAATGAAGGAATGAATGAAGAATTTGACCCACATTAAATTTATTTACTGGAATTAGTTTTTATTATGTTTTGCTTTGTTTGAGTCGGGGTCTCACTCTGTTGTCCCAGCTGGAGTGCAAGGTGCAATCACAGTTCACCATAACCTCAACCTCCTGGGCTCAGGAGATCCTTCCACCTCAGCCTCCTGAGTAGCTAGGACCACAGGCATGCACCACCATGCCTAGATAAGTTTTTGTAGTGACAAGGCCTTGCTGTGCTGCTCAGGCTGGTGTCTAAATCCTGACCTCATGCGATCCTCCTGTCTTGGCCTCCACAGTGCTGGGATTATAGGTATGAGCCACCATGCCCCTCCAGATTTTAAGCTTCAATGATATAACAAGTAGGGTAATCTTTTTCAATAACCCTACACGTGGTTACTGTAGTATACTGTAAGAAATATATCAGGGCTATAAGATTAATGAGAGCCACAAGACCCACCCTGGTGTCTCACAAGTCTGACACATGTCACTTAGCAATATGATGCAACCTGGCCTGAGGACCAGGAATTTCCAGAAGACAAGGCCCCCTCAGCACAGATGAACCTTTAGAAACCTTAAAATGAAGCTTATCCTTATAAGACTAGCTTAGACCCTTTTTATGGGGGAAAAAAAACCTGGTAATGAACCCAGATCAAATACAGATATAAAAAGAGGGAAGAATTTCCCAAATTTTGAAAATGGTCCCAGTACTCTCCCAGTCAGTTTATCACTGACCCCTGACTCTAAGTGGCCCTGACCACCAGCATGCTCCCACCAGCCATCTTGTAAAACCACTGCTAAATTAAATGCTTGAACATCAGACAACATCTAAGACTCATCTTTGGCATGGATGAACCGAAGGAGAGAAGTTGTCCCTGGGGAAGCAGCTCAGTTAGGACCACCCGAGACCCCCGAACACAATAGCTACCCTTGTCCTACTAAATAGGAGCACAAGCTTGCTGAACTTCTTTTCCATTCTCCTCGTGAAGTTTCTATAAAATCAAGAATGGAGTATTTGGGAAAGAGGACTTCAAGGGTGATTGTTTCTGGGGAAGCATGTTCTTGATAACTGACAAAGGCAGAACAGAGAAGATTAAGGAAATGAAACACAGATTTTTCTGGGAAGGTAACGTTGAATGCTAGCCTAAGGATTTTGAAACACTCACACACCTAATTTCATAACACACTCATTGAGGATCTTAAACTGCTGACCTATACCATAGCCACATGCAGTTACTAAAATTTAAATTCAATTAGGATTAAGTAAAAATTCAGTTCCCCTGTGGCACTAGCCATGTTTCAGATGCTCAGTAGCCACACGGGACTCACGACTGCAATGTTGGGCAGCGCAGGCCACACAGCACTTCTGTCACAACAGAAAGTTGTGTGCATCGAGAGTCGCCTGCCTGACGGAGGTCCAGCTGATCAATCATGACTTTCGAAGCTGCTGCAACTGAGAAAGCATTTTGATCGTAGCAGTGTTGAGTGCCACCCTGGAGCGTGACTGACTTGACAGCAAACTGAATTTGGGATAAATGAGTGTTCACATGGTGAAACTAAACTTACTGTTTTTACAGAATTAATCGGTCAGCTTAAACAACTGGGCGATTCAGTGGAAAAAGAATCGGTCAAACTGGTTGTTCAACTTAATTGGTTGGGTAGTTATATCATAGATTGGGTATGGTAATCTAGGCTGAGGCTGGCAATAAAAGGCGCCTTTGATCAGATTGGGGTGGCCACCTGAAGGCTGCCGAGGGCTGTAGACAGCTGTCAGCCCCGGCAAGGCATTCCTACGTGCCGCATCATCACCTCCAGCTTATCGAACAGTTTCCAGTTGTGAAATCCTCGGCAGGCAGAGCCAGAGGAGCATGGGCAACATTCCAGCAGCCTCCCCGCAAGGGCCCTAGGCCAGGACTTACAGGCAGAGGCAGAGGCAGCCCGTCTGCACCCCCATCACAGCGATCGCCTGAACCTCTCACTCACAGTGATTAAATCTTCCAGCCTCACGTTGACGCCAGCCAACATCTCTCTGCGCTCCACCGCGGGCTCTGGGCAAGGGTAGATGGTGGCTCGAAACCTGTGTTTGGTACAATCCAAAGGACATGCATGGGTTGTTGCTGCAGAGTACCCTGTACCCCCTTCTTCTCTGCTAAGCCAGCGTTGGCTAGCTTTGGTTAGATGGTCATCCTTTCCTAGAATAACTTCTCTTTGGCAATCAGAAAAAGAGTCTCAGTCATAAGGCTTTTCAAGACATTGTTCCCACTATGAATTGAAGTCATGGTCTGTTATGTGAATGAACGTCATTCAACCCTTCCAACCTGTGTGCTGCTGTGTAAACAAGACATCAGGCTTGACTCGTCTCTTCTTCTTTCCAGAATCTATTAATGTATTCATGTTCCCTCTACTGAGTAATCTCTGCTTCTGAGGGGCCACATGTAACGTGATTCTATAAAATCAGAAACAACTTAACCACGCAGTTTGCCTACCCTTTAGTAGCTGATAAAGCATATAAGAAGGAATCAACTGAAAAGCTTACCCTGTCTACTTGCTTATTTATTTTATAACAAATTTTTTAAAAATGTGAGATGGGATCTCCCTCTGTTGCCCCGGCTGGAATACAGTGGCTCAAGCATACCTCACTGCAGCCTCCAACTCCTGTGCAAAAGTGATCCCACCTCAGCCTCCGCGGTCTTCAGGTGAACATGTCTACTTTCTGTTACCTTTAAATTTTACTTATTCAAGTTTTCTGTGTTCATAGTCTCACAACTCTTAAAAGTCAGTTGTACTTTTAACGCCATCTTGTCAAATGTGAGAAAGTTATTCTAAAACTTGAACCTGCCCCAGAGAAACCTCAATCACGTATATTTTACACTGTCTGCCTCTTTACCTAATCCTGACCCAAATCACTGAGAAAAGAGCCATTCCCTGTCTTTCTTACCCATCACAGATCTTCTTGATTTTCTGCCTGAGCTGCTCTCCTTGATAAAATATGATGAATATATTCTTCTTAATTTCTTCTTTCTGGAAAATCAGAACAAGTTTTTTTAAAAAGACTTTCTGATTAGACCATAATAGAGAGAAATGTAAAATTTGGGTTTGGGGCTTACAAATTTTATAAATCTAAAAGTGAAAAGCTTTGGCTTTCCCCAGCTCATCTAGGTTCATAGCTCACAGTGAGGGCGGGCTGGATGGGCTTCATGGAGGCCAGCGTGGCCTTAAGGTCTGCAGGTAACAGCCTCACTGTTTGCTATACCGGTTGAGTCACAGCCAGACTTTGTGTTCAGCTCTAAGCCTACACTTAAGAGAGGTGATAATAAATAAGAAAATATCCAGAAGAGGATATCACAAGGCTTAGAATGAAAATAGCTGACTAATAAGCTGCTCACCAGTTAATCTACATATCTACATTTCAGGAATGAGTAGTTGTTTGATTGTTAACCAAAGTAAAGCCAAGCCTGATTTTGACTCACAGTTGCTTGTGTGCCTGGAAGAATGCTGTTTAAATTGCATTTTTCTAGTCCAAGTTGGATAAGTCACAGGAAGGGAAGAATACATGTTCCACAAGCATACATGAAATGTTCAACTCTTACTGTAAGCAAAGAAATAGGAACCTAGCAATGTGTACTTTCACTCTTATTTAGTTTGCGGGGGTAAAGGTAAAATTACAAAATCCTTTGTTGGAAAAGTTATGACAAATTCAACAGCCTCATCACATACCACTCAGAGCACTGGGTTCCAAAAAGTCATTGAAAGTCCCTTGGTAGGACCCATAAGGTATCACAAAAGTGTCCACATCCTTTAAGTCAGCAATCCTATTTTCCTTGAATTTGTATTATGAAAGTAATTCAGGAGAAAAATTAAAATCCTCATGCATAAATATGCTTATCACGTTGTCTATGTTCTGGGGAAAAACTGGAAATAAAGTGTCCAAAAATTGATAATGTCACATTAACTCAATGGAAATATTAGGCATCTGTTAAAATAATATCAAAATGAGTAATCACTTTGGCAGTTGGGCATGGGATTAGGGTCGGGGTGTTATGGGATTTTTGGGGGGCTGCTGCTTTACATTATTTCCAAAGGTTCCTTAACCCATGGAGCCCACCTGGTCCTTTCCTGAATCTCTTAGGTGGTCTTGTCTCCTGATCCATCAGAACCAGGAGTCTATTCTGATCTCACGACACCCACTTGGTGACCTTCAATGTCAATACAAATCTTTTCCCAGATGCTTACTTTCTACTCTCTCTACCACACTATTACATGTCAAAACATGTTTATGAAAAATGACGATTCAGTGTAAAATTTCAAAATAATCTCTATAAAGAATGCATGGTAACATGGGGGAAATCTCATATTACCTTAAATGAAGAGGAGAAAATCATTTCCATGTATACGACAATCATTTAAAGTTATACTTGTCTCTATCTATAGAGAAAAATAGTAGCCGGGCTCGGTGGCTCAGCCTGTAATCCCACACTTTGGGAGGCTGAGGTGAGTGGATTGCCTCAGCCCGCAGGTTTGAGACCCGCCTGGGCAACTTGGCGAGACCTCATCTCTACAATAAATAAAAAAATTAGCTGGGCATGGTAGCGCACACCTGTAGTTCCGGCTACTTGGAAGGCTGAAGCGGAAGGATCGCCGGACCCCAGCAGGTCGAGGCTGCGGTGGCCAGGAGCAACCACTGCACTCCAGTCTGGGTGACTGAGTGAGACTCCAACTCAAAAAAAAAAGAGAGAAAAACAGCACAAGAGAAAGAATAAAATAAAGACATTAAGACATCAGAGTGGTGGGACTTTTGTGTGTTTTTAAATAAGCTTTCTTCTTATTTTAACCATGAAATTGTTTCTCACCAAACAACTCTTAATTTTTTTTTTTTTTTGAGTTGGAGTCTCACTCTGTCGCCCAGACTGGAGTGCAGTGGCCACTCCCGGCCACCGTAGCCTCAACCTGCTGGGCTCCGGCGATCCTTCCGCCTCAGCCTTCCGAGTAGCTGGAACTACAGGCGTACACTACCACGCCCGGCTAATTTTTGATTTATTGTAGAGATGAGGTCTCGCTGCCCAGGCGGGTCTCGAACCCACGGGCTCAGGCAATCCACTCATCTCAGCCTCCCAAAGGCGCGGGATTACAGGCTGAGCCACCGAGCCCGGCTAACTCTTAATTTTTTAGCCTCTAATCTGGGAATGATTATAGACTTTCAGAAACAAGCCCATTTTCTTGGAATTAAAGAGTAAGTAGATTTAAATACTAAATGAAAGGGTATGGAAGCAACACCCTTCAGAATTCACAGTAATAAATGTGTGGCACTTGGGAAGAGACCCCTTGAAATCCTTGTTTAACACATGGGGTCTGTTGGCAAGTCTATCAGCACTCTTAGGGCCCAGGCCAGCCCCACTGAATAGGAATCTGCATTTCAACAGACCCCAGGTGACCTCTATGCACATGAGCATATACCTAAACCAGTCCTGAATTCTTGGTAGTTAAGACACCTGCCACCTCATGTGGTACTAGTATGACTAAGTTTCTAGAAACAAGTATGGCTAACTTTCCTAGAGGAATGAACCAATTATGAGGTGTTAACAAGAATCAGTCGTTGAACTGACCTTTCAAATGTATTTTTAGAAAGGGAAAAAAGGAAAGAAAGGAAGGAAGGAAGAAAGGAATGTTAGCTTCATTGAATTAAAGATGCAATACATTGGGAAAAAGGAGGCTTTTCTGGTGAGGGCTACAGGAAACTTCAGAGCAGGTTTTCCTTTAGGAGGCGGAGGCGAGAGGATTGCCTGAGCCCAGGAGTTTGAGACCAGCCTGGGCAACTTGGTGAGACCTCATTTCTGCAATAAACCAAAAAGTTAGCCAGGTGTGGTGGTATGCACCTATAGTTCCAGCTACTTGGAAGGCTGAGGCAGAAAGATCACCTGAACCCAGCAGGTTGAGGCTGAGGTGGCCGAGAGCATGCTACTGCACTCCAGCCTGGACTACAGGGTGAGACTTCAAAAAAAAAAAAAAGAATTAAAACAGAACAAGATCTCTGTAGCCTGAGGTGCCCACCGTGACAGGGTCCTTCAGAGGGGTATCCATCTCACTGAACTTCAAGTAGATGTTTCCTCGGCAGACGCGCCACAGCAGTCTCTCAAAGGAAGCCATCTTTTCCCTGTTGATCACGCCAGCGGTGAACCTGGTCAGTCAGAAGGGAAGACATTACTGGGCATAGGGTGCAGAGAGAGGGCCTGGAGGACATGAAGAAGGACCAGGAATCAAAGGGCTCCTCTCTTTGCATAGGAGGGATAACAACACAGCTCTCCCCAAGGGGTCACAAGGTCACCACACATCCAACTTGACCCAAGTACCTTTGACCTTTTGTTTTCTTTGGTGCTTTGAAATTTCATCAACCATCCTAATACTATACACCCACTAGTTGCAGTTAAAAATATGGTGGACCATTCAATGTAGCAGTAAATAGAAGCAAATGATCAATGATGGTCTTCATGAATTTTTACCAAAACAATTTAATGTACTCAGAGGAAAACACATACACTAATTTCTATACATCTCAATATTTCTTTTTGGGGGGTGGTTAGAGTCTCACTCTGTCACTCAGGCTGGAGTGGAGTGGTATGCTCACGGCCACCACAGCCTCAACCTGCTGGGTTCAGGCGATCCTTCTGCCTCAGCCTCCCAAGTAACTGGTACTACAGGCGCATGCCACCACACCCAGCTAATTTTTAAAAAATTTTTATTTATTGTAGAGACAAGGTCAGGCCAAGATGCCTGGGTTGGTCTTGAACCCCTGAGCTCAGGCAATCCTCTTACCTCGCCCACCAAAGTGCTGGGATTATAGGCATGGGCCACTGCCCCCAACCTCTCAGTTTTTCCCATCATTCAGGTACTTAGATAATTGGCTGACCCAAACTTCTTATATTAGCCTCAAAATGGTGACTTTCACTGGCTTATTATTTTAAATGTATGTCGATCTGGTATTGCCTTCTGATAAAATATTTTCAATAAATATTTTTTCTTTTCATTTCAAATTCAATGCCTAGTGCCTTAAATAGAAGGCCCTCAAATATTATTGAATAAAAAATTATAAATCTCAAACTTACAACTTTCAGAAATGCTTTAAAACTCATCAATCTCACTTAGACACTGAATGAAATACTACCATTTTGAATTGTCACGAATTTTCATGGGTATCACATCTCATATAACTACTACTTGGGATGACTTGATGGTACAACTATCCTATTTCTAATTACATTTAAAAACTCAAACTCCAAGTTTGGCCGTGGTGGCTCACGCCTGTCTGTAATCCCAGCACTTTAGGAGGTGGAGGAGAGAAGATTACCTGAGGTGTTCAAGACCAGTCTGGGCAACTTGATGAGACCTTGTCTCTACAATAAATCAAAAAATCAGCTGGGCATGATGGCACATTCCTGTGGTTCCAGCTACTTGAAAGGCTGAGGTGGAGGGATCACCTGAGCCCAGCAGGTCAAGGCTACAGTGGCCGTGGCCATGCCACTACACTCTATCCTAGGCGACAGAGACTTCAACTCAAAAGAAAAAAAGAAGTCAGGCTCGGTGGCTCAGCCTGTAATCCCGCGCCTTTGGGAGGCTGAGGTGAGTGGATTGCCTGAGCCCGCGGGTTCGAGACCCGCCTGGGCAGCGAGACCTCATCTCTGCAATAAATCAAAAAACCAGCTGGGCGCGGTAGCGCGCGCCTGTAATTCCGGCTACTTGGAAGGCTGAGGCGGAAGGATTGCCAGAGCCCAGCAGGTCGAGGCTGCGGTGGCCGGGAGCGGCCACTGCACTCCAGTCTGGGCGACAGAGTGAGACTCCAACTCAAAAAAAAAAAAAAGAAGAAAAAATTCAAACTTCAAATGCATTTTATTATCAAAGTCGTATTTTAAAGATAAGGAAAAACCATATATACTCATAGCCTTGTTCCAAAGCCAGGAAAGAGTTGTAAAAACCCATAAGCAACTGTCTTCAACATCTTCCCCACAAGGGAGCAATATAAACATTGTAAACATCGTACTCTTGGCCGGACACAGTGACTCATGCCTATTATCCCTGGACTTTGGGAGGTTGGGGTGGAAGGATCATTTAAGCCCAGGAGTTTAAGAGCAGCCGGGAAACATAGTGAGATCCCATCTTTCCAAAATAAAAAAATTAGTCAGGCATGGTGGCACACATTTGTAGAGTCAACTACTCAAGAGGCTGAGAGAGGAGGTTGAGGTTGCAGTGAGCTTGGATCATGCCATTGCACTCCAGCCTGGGCAACAGAGCAAGGCCCTGCCTTGATAGATAAATAAATAAATAAATAAATAAAAATTGCACTCTTCAGTTTCAAGAATGTTAGTGCCATCACTGACAAGGTCACACTACTTCCAACTCCTCCAACCCACGGTTACACTTGGGCTTATTCCTCTATAGAGGTCAGCCATTCAGGGGAAGCAGTTCCCATTCTAGTGATTATTTGTTCACCCACTCACTCACTCAGAGAAATCATGCACCAGGACCAGGGACCCATCTACCCATAACACTCAGGACATGGAGTTACACTAACCCCAACTTTCCAGTCATATACGAAGGCACTGCTCTCAACTCCAGGAGACCAGATGTGTCTTCAATAAAGAAATCATCGGCCAAATTGGTTTCCGTCTGAAAAGTCAAAACACCACTATTTTCATTCAAATATATTTAGAGTATCTTAATTAGCATCCCACACCAACGTCCTGTCTGGTTTTAGTGAAGCTTTAATTTTCCACAGATAATCAACAGAATTTAGAAAGCAGAACACTCCTGCCAGGTCAGAAAGTTTCCGTTGTCTCCTCCACCAAAACTCTAAATCTGCTCAAATTAACTGTGCAGCTGCCTCTGACTTCTCCTGCTGTCCTGGGCCTTTTGAGCTCAGGCTTTTTATTGAGCACCTGAATATTTTGTCTTCAACGCAACCAGCACATTTATTCCACCAGAAATACTCTCCCCTTCACCAGTGACCCAGTGGAACAGACACAGAATGACTTATTCATATTCTAGACCAGCCACTTTTTCAAATGGACATTTGAACCTCTGAGGAAAGGGTCCCAAATAACGACCTCAAAGAAGTCCTGGGTTTTCTTCAGGAGGTATTTCAGTTCTGTCAGTTCTAGGAAGCTTGTTTGCAAAGCCTGCTGGTTCTGGTTGGCTTCCTGTAACTCTCCTTCCAGCTTTTCTAGAACAGTCTATGCAGGAAAGAAAAAGATAAGGCAGGCAGAAACATTTCTATGACATTTCTAATATACATGACTACAACAGACAACAGAAACTCAAAGAAGGATTCAGTACATCATAATATAAACTGAGTGGCCTGTTCAGTAATAAAGTCAACATGACTGTAGAACCTAAGCTAAAGCCGTGTACACACCCTCTAGAGTTCCATCATCAAATGGAAAGGATTAGGACATTCTCTGGGAGGGGGACTGGGCATGGTGGTTCATGCCAGTAATCCCAGCACTTTGGGAAGCTGAGGTGGGAGACTCACTTGAGCCAGAGTTCAAGACCAGCCTGGCAACATAGCAAGACCCCATCTTTAACAGTTTTTTGTTTGTTTGTTTTTTAATCACAAATTTAAAAAAAAAAAGATGAAAATACTCCGGGGGAGTAGAAGACAGTTTTATAGAGAAGTCAAAGCTGGGTGCAGAGGCTCACGTCTATAATCCCAGCACTTTGGGAGGTAGATGCTAGAGGACTGCCTGAGGCCACAGATTCAAGACCAACCTGAGCAGCAAGGTGAAACCTAATCTCTACAATAAATTTAAAAAAAACATTAGCTGGGTGCGTGGCACATGCCTGTAGTTCCAACTACTGGGAAGGCTGAGGTGGAAGGAATGCCTGAGTCCAGCAGGTCAAGGCTGCAATGGCCATGCACGTCCCACTGCACTCCAGCCTGGGTGACAGAGTGAGATTCTGACTCAAAAATACAAAACAAACAAACAAAAACTACAAAAACAGAAAAAGAGAAGTCGGGGCATTTTGGCAAAACACAACTCTCCCCATTTAAAACGCTAAAAAGGGAAGATAGAGTAAATTTCCATGCTGAGAATTCCTTCTGCCCCAATCACATAATAATGATGAATAAGATACAAAAAGAGAAGCCTAGTATTACCTCCAAACCACTAGCAGTTCTAGGTTGGGGTCTGGAGAGCAGGGACAAACAAGTGAAAAAAGGCAATAAGGAGAAAGTTGAGGACAGAGCACAAGAAGACAGGTGAAAACCTGACCTCACTTCCAAGATGGACATTCAGAAAAAATCAGGCTTTGAAAAAATATAATAAGAAAAATCGCGATGGCTCAGCCTTAATCCCAGCGCTTTGGGAGGCCGAGGTGAGTGGATTGTCTGAGCCCGCGGGTTCAAGACCTGCCTGGGCAACTTGGTGAGACCTTATCTCTACAATAAATCAAAAATTAGCTGCGCGTGGTAGCACGTGCTTGTAGTTCCAGCTACTTGGAAGGCTGAGGTGGAAGGATCGCCAGAGCCCAGCAGTTGGAGGCTGCGGTGGCCAGGAGCGGCCACTGCACTCCAGTCTGGGCAACAGAGTGAGACTGCAACTCAAAAAAAAAAAAAAAAGAAAGAAACAAAAGGAAATAGCAAGTTACAAAAGAATATACAATATGGTTTTATTTAGATAAAAAATTTAATTGTGTATAGCTAAACTACATACTATTTAGAAGAACAAATATGTAATTAAAACTATCTAGAAATAAAGAAAAATACAGAATTCAAGACAGTGATTATCTCAAAAGAAATGAGGGTGAGGAAGAACATCACTGTGGGTAACTCTTATCTTACACAGGACAATGGGCACTTGGTGTTTGCTGATGGTTTTTTTTTTTTTTATTTAATGTAGAGATGGGGTATCCCTATTTGTCTAGGTTGGTCTTGTACTCCTGTCCTCAAGAGATCCTCCTGCTTCAGCCTCCCAAAGTGCTGGGATTACAGGCATGAGTCAGTGCACCCAGTCTAATTGTTATTTTTATAATTACACATATTTTATTAAAATTCTAGCATATCAACTCAATATTTATTTTTTAAATGACAAATTCATATTTAAGAACATTATAGTAAAACAAAGACAAAACATTAAAGGCTATCAGGAAAAAAAAAGACATATAATCCAGAAAGGGATAATAACTGAACTAGCAGCAGATTTTATGAGAAAAATTTACTAAGTATGTGCCTTGAAATGCTAAAAGTAACTATAATCTATAGCTTTCAGACCAAGGATGGTAGGGGGAAGGGCTGGCAGGTATTACAGAAAAAAAGAAAAGGAAAGAAAATGGGAATAGTAACCCAAAGGCAATCAATCAGTAATTACAACAAATGGAAATGGATCAAGGTCACCTATTAAATCAGAGATTATCATGCTAGCTATTTCTTAATCCACAGACATCCTTACCAAAGAGATAAAAGGATAATAAACATAACTGCCACACAAATTTAGCTCCCCCTGAAAGTTTATTACTATCAGACAAAATTGAGTATTTTAAACTTTTATTATGGAAATTTCCAGGCACACACAAGCAGAGAGAACCCCACACACCATCACCCAGCTTCAATTCTATTCCCTTCCCTTCTTGCCACCCCCAGATAATCATTACCCTGAATTTTGAACACTGAATATAATGGCACAAAGTTGGGGGGGAGGGGAAATCAAATATCCTTTTCTTAATCATTTACTTACTGAAGCCACTAAAAATAATGCTGCCATTTACCTATATATATAAATTGGATATATAATTATATAAAAATATAGCTGCATAAGAGTAAAACTTGAAAGCAAAACAAAATCATGGCAGTGTTTGCTGGGGTGGTGATTTTTTTTTCTGAATTAATATTTAGTCTAGGACTATCACAAAATCCTTTTTAGAAATAAGGCAGGGGCCCCAAACCATTAATGTACTCTTATAAGGATTCTCCTCCCCAGCAATGTTGAAGGAACACACAACTAACTGTGGGATCAGTCTAATCAATCAGTCAATCCTATGATCAGTGAATGGCAAAATAGATGACTCTCATAATTTCATGCTGTTTTAATTTCATTTTAATAGCAAACAATATTAAGAAAAACACTACAGAAAGACTGTGAGCACACACATCCCACTGCCCCTTATCCCATTACTAAGTGGCTAGTACTATAAATCTATGAGAGTATAAAGCTGTAAAGCCTTAACTTGAAATATCATGCTAGAAGCCAAGTGCAGTGGCTCAAACCTATAATCCCAGCATTTTGGGAGGCAGAGGTGAGAGAATTGCCTGAGCCCAGGGGTTCAAGACCAACCTGGGTAACTTGGCAAGACCTCATCTCTACAATAAATCAAAAAATTAGCTGGGCGTGGTGGTGCGTGCCTGTAGTTCCAGCCACTAGGAAGACTGAGGCAGAAGGATCGCCTGAGCCCAGCAGGTTGAGGCTATAGTGGCCGTGAGAGTCCCACTGCACTCCAGTCTGGGTGACAAAGTGAGACTTCAACTCAAAAAAAAAAAAGAAAAAAAGAAAAAAAGAGGAAAAGCATACACCAAAACGATGTCTTACGGTCTGATTGATCAGGACTAGGTGCTGAGGTAGTTGAAGGAAGTGAACGGGAGGGGAGGTGTTGAATGAACAGGGCTGGTATGAGAAAACTCAGGATAAGAGTGTAATTCCAAGCTGGGCTCGGTGGCTCAGCCTGTAATCCTGCGCCTTTGGGAGACTGAGGTGAGTGGATTGCCTGAGCCCGTGGGTTCGAGACCCACCTGGGCAGCGAGACCTCATCTCTACAATAAATCAAAAAATCAGCCAGGCGTGGTAGCACGCGCCTGTAATTCCGGCTACTCGGAAGGCTGAGGCGGAAGGATCGCCGGAGCCCAGCAAGTCGAGACTGGGCTCCAGAGTGAGACTCCAACTCAAAAAAAAAAAAAAAAAAAAAGAGTGTAATTCCACATGGTTTGGGGGAGGTCCTATTTATACTGGTTGAAAGCTTTATCCACAAATATCCAGATTTCATTATGACAAGATCCAAAATATTTTCTAAGAGATTTGACAGTCTCATATCTTTATCAGAGTATCAGATTTATACTACCGAAGGCTTAAAAAATGTCAAGAATTTGAAGTTATCTTCAAAGGAAAAAAACCTATCCAGAAAAAGGGCTTACTTAGCTTGGTGAAGCACCCCCCTACCTGCCTACACCTTGAATGAGCCCTGCCTCCTCTAAGGATAAAATACCCCTTTTTTAAAATCAAGACTCCTGGGGTCCTCCATGGTCTGGCTCTGCCCACGTCTTTACTTCTTCTCTCAGCCTCTTCTGTCACTCCTGTCCTCACCGTCTACATTGTAAGCTCCTGGAAGGCACGACCAACCTTACCTCTCTCTAAGGTGCCTTGCACATGGTAGATATCCAATGTTTTAGAAAAGATAGAATAAGAAGAAAGTAGACAGAGAAGGAAAGGAAAGAGGGAGAGCCCCACCAGCCATAATGTCCTTGTATAAAGAAAACTGCAATCACCTCCCAGTTGACCTTCAGAAGCCTAAGAAGAGACTACCATCTAGGGTAGAGCGAATTCATCAGATACTTCTCACCAGACAGATAATTCGAAAGCATCCCATTATACCTGCATTTCACAAGTTCAGTGGTACCATATAGACAAAAACCTCTCTACCTGCAAGGATCTTATGCCCACAGAAGAAATCACTCCTCACACTGGGTAAGGTTCCCCAGGGCTGTGTTGAAACTGAACAGTTTTCCCCTGGATCCGAAGGAGTGGCATACTGGGATTTTCCTGGTGTGGTGGTGACACAGAAAGGTGACTGAGCACACAAATCCACCTCTGTGCCTTCAGCAGTCAGATAAAGGACTCGTGAGTGGCTCTCAGAGCTTCACGACTATTCTCAGCTGGGGTGTTCTCCAGCAATGTGGAGAACTTACCTCCAAGGTAATCATTTCCCGTGGGAGAGGGGTGAGTGGGTACTTCTCAGGCAACTGAATTGCAACTTCATTTTGCATCTCATCTTCCAGAAAACCTGAGGGAAGAAATCCCACCAGAGAGCCCAAGGTGATTGTATTTTCTCATAAGTAAGAATGAGGTCAAGCAAGACAAATGCCTTTCACCCAGCTAAGCTACCTGAATTGCCCCAGGAGTGGTCACAGCACCTGGGTCCCATCCCTAACCTCTCCCATACCCTATCTCCAGGACCACCCCAAAAAGTATTACAGCTAGGGACACATTTGTCAATGAAGTCCTATAAACTGTTTACCCCCTTACCAGTTCACATTTGGATAGTAGGATAAAAAACTGGCTTACGAAGTATTCTCTCCAGAGATTCACACCTTCTCACTTCATTCACAAATTTCCTCTGGAAGCTGTTCACATTTATGTTTAACTAGGGAAGCAAAATCACAAGGCACACATTAGTAGCAACAGCTGCCACCACATTCCTTTTGGTTATTTGATTCTTTTTTGAATGCTGGAGAATGTTGCTGGAATTATCTTAGGAATAGATATTTCCATGCACAAGACAAGTGAGCTACAGGCAAAACACACCTCACACCCAGTCCCCCAAATGCCTCAGCTCTTGCTCTCCCATTTCTAAAAGAAACAATATCCTCCTGCTCCTAAGTTTTTCTTATTTTCGGCTGCATTGACTATCCAAATGGACCTCAAAATCCTCAGTGGGGTCATTAACATGACCATCCCTTGAAAACCACACAGTTCCATGTAAGGTCACCAACAGAAAACAGGTCAGCCTAATAAATGGTACTGAGCACCTGCCTCATGTCAGGTCCTGTGCTAGGAACAAGGGATGTGAAGGACAAGACATGATCCTTCCCCACAGGCGCTTAGCTCTGACCTTGACCTTATTGAGGAGGTAAAGAAACAGCCAGGCACAGTGGCTCACGCCTGTAATCTCAGCATTTTGGGAGGTGGAGGTGAGACAATTGCCTGAGTCCAGAGTTTTGAGACCAGAGTTTTGAGACCAATCACTAAAGTGAAGGCAGGAAAAGCCAGGGGGAGGAGGACCTTGTCTCTATAAAAAATAAATAAATAAATTAGTCAGAGTGGTATGTGCCTACAGTTCCAGCTACTTGGGAGACTGAGGTGGAAGTTGCCTGAGCCCAGTGGACAGAGGCTGCAGTGGCCACTGCAATCCAGCCTGGGAGACAGAGTGACACTCCTACTCAAAAAAAAAAAACAAAGAAACAAAACTGACTTTATAAATTGGACTCTGCAAGAGTTTGGTGAGGGTCTACACCACCCCTGGGAAATGACATCCCAGTGTCACACTCAGGACAGTCTATCCCTAGAATATCACTGCAGAATTCCACCTTGAGTATCACAGCCAACTCTGAACTGCAGAATAATTTTTCCTCAGTCTGCCTCGATAGGAAAATTCATTTTTTTCATCAGAACAATGTTTGATAATCCAAATGCCTATTGGATATGTCCAATTTTGTTTTGTTTTGTTTTGTTTTGAGTCAGAGTCTCATTCTGTCACCCAGGCTCGAGTGCAGTGGCACGCTCACAGCCACTGCAGCCTCGATCTGCTATGTTCAGGTGATCCCTTCAGCCTCGGCCTTCCAAGTAGTTGGAACTACAGGCATGCGCCACCATGCCCAGCTAATTTTTTTAATTTATTGTAGAGATGAGGTCTCACCAAGTTGCCCAGGCTGATCTTGAACCCGTGGGCTCAGACAATCCTCACCTCAGCCTCCCAAAGTGCTGCTGGGATTATAGGTGTGAGCCACTGTGCCCGGCCTATGTCTAATGTTTGAAGATGCTACACAAAAAATAAAATGAAATGACTTCTAACATGTGTTGATTGCATTAGAGCTTCAAGACATTTCTAGAAAGGAGATAGGTTTGGAGAGAGAGAGGGAGAACATGCTTGTGAGTGATTTGCCCCTGGTCATAGCAAATCTTAGCCAGAAGGACAAGAACTGTAGAATTCCAGGGCTCCTCTCCCTGTAGAATGGATTGTGTTCATTACAAAGAAGTATTGTGAAAGAGTTATCTGCTCTCACCCCCCCACCACCTCTTATCTCCCAAGAATGCAGTACCTACATCTTTGAACTGAACCAATCCAAGCTCTCCGAGCTCAGCTACGCAGCAATATGCAGCCTCCACCTGGAGAAACAGTTGTGACAAACACATCTCCTCACTTCGAAACACGGACACCATCTTGGCCTCGCTTTGGTCTGCAGAAAAAGATATTTAAGGTAATTAATGGGTGAAAACCTTAGGATGAAATTTTTTTTAGTTAAATTAAAATCTAACAGAAAAAACAAATCCAGCAAGAACCCCTCCTGATTTTAAAAATATAACACAAACAAGATAGCACTTTTCACCCCCTATCAGCTAGGCAAAAGCTTTTAAAATGGATTAAACTTGAGTTGTGGAAGGTATGAGAAAGAGCAGACCCTTTCATATACTTATACTTGAAATGTAAATCCTTTATAGCTTTTTCAGAGAGGAATTTGCCAATATCTACCAAATTTTGTATTATTCACACCCACAACCCAACATGTCCACTGCTATTTATTCAGATAAGCCTGGATATGTCTGGAAGAATAGATGACCATAGATATTTCGTATAACATTGTGTATAATAATTATAATAAATGAATCTAAGCTAGATATCCATCAGTAGGGGAATGATTAAATAAACTGTGACACAGCAGAAACCTGTACAGTCAGCAGGAATAAAATAAATCAGTCTGTATGTCCTGTATATGGAAGGATACCCATCTTGGGGTAGGGGAGGGGTACCTCTCTAGGTCAGCCAAAACTGCACCTGTAAGATACAGTTCTACCAAACAGTTGTAAGTATGTATTGACACTGCTGATAAGACAGAAAGAACCGACTCACACTCCTGAGAGGGGATCTCAGACATATAAACCGAGATATAATAAAGCATCCACCATTCTCTAGCCGATGTCTGCCTAAAGTTTAACTGAGAAGCGCAAAGAGCAACTGACCCCGCGGATCTCAAAGCAATTGCTGCCTGCTAGGGAACTGAGCCCAGGTGCACCAGAACCTTCCAGCAAGGCAGATAAATGCATTCCAAACTGTGGGGTGTGGCAGTTTGTGACTCTTGAAAATTTCTCCACTCCCAAGTAGACCATCACAGTCATACACCCATCAGACTGCCTCCAGTGTCAATCAGAACAGGGAAGGACCCCTCCCACGGGTTAGAAGAAAGTGAAGATCTTTCCAATCACTAAAGTGAAGGGCAGGAAAAGCCAGGGGGAGGAGGACAGTTACAGAATCATTCCCAAAGATCTTCCAGACAGCACCACTGTCGCCAAGCCAAAGCATTTCCCCCACAGCCAGCCTTCTTGAAATGTAATGAAATCCACTACTTCTCCAGAGTGGATTTCATTTTATAGCACATGGGGTAACGTGCCAGGCACTGGGCCTACCTGTTGTTCCAGCTGCCAACATCACCAAGACCTCAAGCCTACCAACAAAGGCTACAGGATTTGGTCTCTGTCCCCTCATCCAGCCTCTGGCTCCCTAGAGACCCCACATTTCTCCCCAGCTCCCACCCCCTTCAGGGCCCTAGTCATTCTCTTTCTCTCCACCCTTCATCCCACACCCCGCATATGTAGTCACTCCTCCAAATGTCAGTGTAAGTATTTTTTTTCCCTCCACAACCTTCCCTAACCACCACCTGCACCCCTATTGGGTCAGGTGTCCTCCTCTAGGCTCCCAGAGCAGCGATCACTGGCAATTACTTGGTTAACTACTTACTGTCTGGATTCCCCACTAGCCAGTCAAATCGGTGTGGTAAGACACTGCCATGATTTTCCCTCTGAACTAGATGGTGGTCTAGTTCAACAGGACCACAGAGCAGTGCACCAAGGACATTTTCCCACTTACTCACTAGGGCCTGAACATCATCCTTCCAGAGGCATGTGGTCTGGTCCTATGTTTGTGCCTTCTGACACCACAATGAATCCAGAGCTTTCCTAGTATCCTTTTTGGTAACTAAGACAATGTGTTCACAGAACAAAACCCAAGACCTTCGCTTCTTACACACTCAAAACGCAACACCAAGCCCCTTCTTACCCCAGCTGTGTCCCAGGCGTCCCGTGGGCTCTGGCACCAGCCGTCCTGGGGGGTCTGACACAGGCAGTGGCTTCCTTGCAGATGGAGGATCAATGGCAGGCGGCCTCCCGGGCAGCGTGCCCGCCCGCTCCTTCTCCTTCTGCCCTGCGGAGCCACAGAGCCGGGAGGGGCTCTGTTGTATCAACACCGGCCTGTTGTGGATGAGGACAAACCTGCCCCACCGGCCAGCCTGCTCAACCCCCGCCCCACCTGTGCCCTCTGCCACGACCTTGAGTCCCCACCAGGAAGCAATGACTTTTGTTTTCTAAGGGAAGTAACTTGCCCCTCAGCAAGCTGAGGGTTGGAGACAAGATTTCCTAAGGCCTCAGGAGGGCGCGTAGGCAACATTCTAATAATCACTCAGCAAACCAAAACATTCCTAACAATTTAAGTGAAGACGAAATAATGTTTTAAAATGGTTTTAGAAAAGAAAAATATGTCCTGCTCACCAGCTTATCAATAGCTATTTATCCAAAACACTCTTCCATGAAAATAGATGGAGGACTCCTTACAAAACACCCAATGGCTGAAATTCAGCTTCAGATATGACCCGGGAAAAAAGGAGATAGGGCCAGATGAAATATCTACTCTTTCCTCCTGGAATTCTTGTCTTTCCTATCTGTGTGGCAGAGGCTTGGGGGAGAGGCGGACTGGAGAAGGGGGAAGACCTGGCCATCAGCAAGTTTCTCTTGCTGAGGTGATGAAAGCCCTCTGAGTCTGTGCGAACAAATGAGCTTTGCTCCTCCAGGGGAAATGCACAGGTCCCCTGTAGGCACCTACCGAGGGTGCTTACGAAAGGTATCCCCAGTTCAGGTGTGGTGGATCACGCCTATAATCCCAGCACTTTGGGAGACCAAGGTGAGAGGATTGTCTGAGCCCACCTGTTCCAGACCAGCCTGGGCAATTTGGTAAGACCTCATCTCTACAAAAAATCAAAAAATTAGCCAGGCATGGTGGTGTGTGCCTGTAGTTTCAGCTGCCTGGAAAGCTGAGAGGCAGAGGGATCACCTAAGCCCAGCAGGTCAAGGATGCGGTAGGTGTGAACTTGCCACTGCACTCCAGCCGGGGCGACAGAGTAAGATTCCAACTCAAAAAAAAGAAAAGAAAAGTATCCCCAGAATGAGGGGGGTGCTTTTTTTTTTAACTTTTCATTATGGAAAAATTAAAGCATCTGCAAAAGTATAGAGAAGAATATAAGGACCCTCATGTACACATCACTCAGCTTCAGTGACTGTTGAATTTTGTATTATCTACATCCCACTCACTTCCCCTATCCCCTCTGATTATTTGGAAGCAAATCTCATACATCATGTTATTTCTTTCTAAATATTTCAGCATGTACCTCTAAGAGACAAAGATTCTTACCCACACACACACTACACACACACACACACACACACACACACACACACACACACACACACACACACACAATCACTCCTAAAATTCAACGATAATTCCTTAATATCGACTATATCCCATCAAAGTTCACATCTCCTGGGTTGTCTGAGATGTGCATTTTTGATAAGCCCCTCGGGTGATTCTTGTGCATGATCAAATTAGAACCAGTGTTTTGAGAAACCGAGAAGCAGCGGAGAGAAGCAGGGTGTAGGCAGTTTGGGGAAATCAGCTAAGAAGATGCAGTGGAGGCTGGGGGCCTCTGAGGGAGTACCTGGACCCTGCAGGAAGGGGGCTACTTGGATTTCTTGGAAGGCCCAACTTAGCTGCACCCACCCATCCCACCAGGACAGGTCTGCCTAAATCCAGACTGACCTGGACAAATTTCCAAAGGCTGAATCAGGATTTGCAGAGCAGGAAGTGAGAACTGAAAACCACAAAAGGAAGCATCAGTGCTGACTCTGCCTTGCTCTTCAGATGAGCTGTGGAGGCAAGAGAGCCCCAGCCCCAATGAGCGCCTCCCTCCTCCCCTCCCCACCTGCGCCCACCTCTCACCCGCCTCCTCACCACAGTCAGTGGGTAGAGCAGTAGTCCTCAAGCTTCCCAATGCCCAGGAAGCCCTGAGGAACATATGGAGGAAAAAAGTACACCTCGGTGGTTAAGAGCAGAGGCTGAGGCCGAACTGCCCCAGTCAGGATCCTAGCTCTGCTGTTGACTGTGCGCCACCTTGGGGAAGAGGTTGAACCCTGGGGCCTAAGAGTGCTTTTCTGCATATAATTTAAATCGCCATTAGATACTTAGAAAGTGGAAGTATGGGAAAGGAGAATGTTTTAAGGTTTTTTTCCTCCTAAAGTCTCAGGTCGAAGGTGCCACAGGCCAGCACACTCACTGAACACCAGCAGGACTATAAAGTAGTGTCATCTGTCTGAAGGGCAATCTGTATTATCTTTTGGCCCAATAATCCCACTTTAGAAAGTTTATCTTTAAAACAAAACAATTAAGGGTGTAAACCAACAGGTAATAATAATGTCTATTGTAGCATTGTTTGTAGTAAGTATGATTGAAAACCACCTAAATTATATTTCATTCATTTAATAAACATTTATTGAGAGCCTACTATGCACTACTCTGTTCAGGACTCGAGGATGGGACAGTAAGTAAGAGAGAAGACCCTATCTTGCCTTTATCAACCCTATGTCCAAGTGGAAGGAGAAAATCAGTAAACAAGTAGCAAGTTATCAGGATATTGCAGATTATGAAAAGTACGATTGTGGAATGATAGACTTAGGAGAAATGAAAAGAGGCTGTTTGAGGTAAGTGGTCAAGGAAGTTATCTCGCTGACTAATGTGTCTATTGGAGTGCTCACCAGGTCCATTGTTCTCAGCGACTTTAGAACACATTCAGATATGCTGTAGGTGTTCATCCATGCCATCTTCCCAATCACTACACAAGGTGAGGTGGGTGGCATTCTTATTTTCATGTCACAGATAAGGAAACAGAGGCACAAAGAGGCTAAAAACTTGCCCAGGTCATATGCGGCGGCTCAGTCTATAATCCCAGCACTTTGGGAGGCTGAGGCAAGTGGATTGCCTGAGCCCATGGGTTCAAGACCAGCCCAGGCAACTTGGCAAGATCTCGTCTCTCCAGGAAATAAATTTTTTAAAAAAACTAGCTGGGCGTGGTAGCAC